AACTAACAATGATTTTAGTATTCGAAGCTTATTTCAACGATTCGTCGATACGTATATGGAAGCATATAGGGGACTCAATTAAAATGATCATCCCACAATAACATCATTTTCCACATATGTATGTGTTATTTAGGTAAAAATTTCAATGAAAATGTAATCATTTTCATTTTCACATACTTGTGTGAGCATTCTAGGACCATATTAAAATGAAAATGGAAACAGCATTTGACATTTTCAAAGACCTAACCTGCTCTATAGAGGACTTCATTCAAATGCAATGAGTGAAACAGCGCCCCCAGTCTATTGCATAGCATTTACATTTACAAGCAGCAAGAGACACAATGAAAATGCAATCTGTCAGTCCTCTCATCAAGGCGGGTCCTCAGTTAAGACTTCACTTCCTCTTCAGTTGGAAGGCCATTTCAGGTTCTCATGGTTCAGTTGTGTATCTACCATTACACGACACTAGGCTGTAACTTCACAACCAAATGAAATCTATCAGCTGAACAGCTCAAGGATGGATCTATACCGACTTCAAACTTGGAACCTGTAAGTTTTGCCATTTTTATGTAGCTTTTCTGTTTTTTTGAACACTTGCCTGTTGAACTTGGCGTTACCATATTCTGCAGCTAATGTGGCTAACTGTAACATCAAGCTGTTTCTATTATGTATTGTGATACTAAGCCCACACACCGTCGCCTGTATGTGTGTCTGTTGCTGCAGTAGCCTATGTAAGTTTACCTGGTCGATGCATGGCACATGCAAAAAAACGTTAACTTGCTCATACCCAAAAGCTGTAACATCAGTGTCCTGCTGGGCAGTGTCAAGCCCAGGCTAATACAAGCTAATACAAAGTCTGTCTGTCATGTCAACTACATAGTTACAGCTATGAACAGTGCAAAACCCTTATCATAACTACACAGATGATATTGGACTAAACTGTAAGTGTTTCCTGCATAAGACAAGGTGTGGCCACAGTAATCACTATACTTTTGTTTGTTTAGTATCTGTATTTTTACCAGAAAAGTATTTGACTAATGTTTCACATCTTCTGTTTGTTTCATATCTTACTTGACACGCCACCCTAACAATAACTGTAGGCCGTGTTTTCATATGTTACCGCTCTATCTCCTAGCAAATACTTTCTATTTCACTCGGCTCACACCACTTCTCCCAAATGTATGCTACCTGTAAAGACATATAAAAGTATATTGTGTGTATATATGTATAGTGTATATTTATAGTGAGAGTTAATACATAGATACTAAGCTATCATCGTCTCAGAGGCATAAATAGCAGTATTGACATGAGTTCAACAGCTAAGTACAAACCTGTACTTGAGGAGGAGTGAGGAGTCCTGCTTTCCCCCTCCTCCTCTTCCAGGTTCAAGACTCATGTGCCAGAAATGCACAACCTGTTGCGACTGCTCCTAACATTACTCACTAAACATTTTATTAAAGGAAATACATTTGACACTATTATATTTACACAGATTGGTATTGTGGCTCCTATTTTATACAGCTGCATGTACAGTCATGTTACAGGCATTGCAGACACTATTTCTTACATGTATTATGTCTGCTTACCTGCAACATACGCAAGAAGATCGGTAGATTGTTACCAGCAGATGGTCTGTTCAGACTCACATTACAGCAAAGCACTAACACATTGTTACAACTGCTCCTAAAATGACTCACTAAACAGTATACTCCCTCTAGTGGTAAAAGTGGGAAATAATGTCTACTTTATGTTACAGAAAAATACACGAAGAAACAAAAAAACCCACTGTTAATAGCAGTATTAACACTAGAATGGGCATTTCCTTAAGAAAATGTGTGTGAGAACTGCCAGCTATTTTTTGCGATTGCTACTGCTGTCGGTGCAATGTGCGGCTCCATCAGCTAAGAGACTCAATGATGTGCTGCACACTTGTTCAGCAAACATATGTGTTACGTTTGGCCCCCTTTTCGTTAGCATGCTGTGAGCAGGGTTTTATCCATCAATCTCTGGATCCGGAGCAAGAGCAAGACCTTAACCACCAGACTACTCAGATACACTGTGAAGGGAAGGCTTTCAACTTTCTTTGTAAATCATGTCTTATTCTGACAAAAAAAAATGGCTCCTAAGCACCAATAGAAGGCATGTTTTGCTTATAAACATATTTTCTGTGATGGCTACTCTGCTGTTGAAGAATAAAATAAATGAACAAGCAAAGAATTGTGCTGTGAAAGACTAAACATCATGTTAACAATGATAGCATTTAGAAAGAATAACAACAATTAACTTTGAAAGTAACCACTGAAAGTCAGTAATAACTCCACATTTTGTTAGCATCAAGTTCAAACAACAAACAGCTCTATAAATTCACACGTTTTAATATATTAAAATTGTGATTCAAATGTCAGGCAAATGAACTAATACTCCGAGGACTGTCTCTATATAACTCTCAATGCAGCTGTTCTTATCAAATGAAACAGGCACTTCACTCCTGGTTTCAATAGTAAACCACCACAAGAATGACAATTACAACAAAAAACACTATATTTACAAAGTAAATTTTGTGTTTCAAACAAATAGGTACAGTAAACAGTGATTACACATAGAAAGACTAACAACATGGAGTTCTGAAAGTAGCCACTGCAAGTCAGTAAGTACTCCACCTTTTGTAAGCATCAAGTTCAAACAACAAACAGCTGTGTAAATCCACAAGCTACAATAAATTAATATTGTGAATCAAATCAATGTCTGGTGGTGCTCCGAGGACTGTCTCTTTACCACTACGCTATTGGATCACACGGCTTTTTGAAGTACTGTTGATGGTAAGGTGCATTTGCCTTAAAAATTAAACTTTTCAGCTGTCATTTCGGCAATTTGAGTTACAGCTTGAGTAGCTAAACACAAAAATATAAAGCACGGGTCTTCACCACAGTTACAGAGAAAGAGAACACAAGCTGAAGAACTGGAGGAGCAAAGAGAAAGACAGCCAAATATTACTACTAGAGTCCACTCAAACCTGGCTGCAGGTTAGCTATCAGTGCAGCCATTTTTATCAAATGAAACAAGCACTTCACTCCTGGTTTCAATAGTAAACCACCACAAGAATGACAATTACCAACATAAAACACTATTTTCTAAGCAGACACATTTAACAAATACATAAATCACAAAGTATTTGTTTTGTATTTCAAACAAACAGGAGACTTATTAGCAAATTTTAGCAACACATATACATATCATTAAGTTCAAACACCATAGGCTACAGGTGTTTAAAGTTGAAACCAGTTAACACTGCTGCCAGCTGCAGGATTCAAACCCACAATTGGAATAGGAGGTGTGGCTCTAGAGACTGATCACTCACTAACTAACTGCACCACCAGCCAGCCTGGTTGTAATGATACAATTTGATGTGGTGTTGATATAAAAAGTGTATTTGCTTAATAAAAAAAAAGCTTTACAGCATAAAAATATACCTCTTGTGTCCAAACTCCAAACAGGGAGGAAGATACAGCAAGTTAAAGAATTAGTGACAGGGGGAGACCTCAGCCTGCAGCTACAACAGGGAGTGAATGGGAAACTGAGACTTTCCAATCAATTAAGGATCAGAGATAAAAAAACTAAACGTCCACTGAGCAGGATTTTGACATTTTGAGGGAGAAAAGGCATGTGGGTACATTTTGGTGCCTTTTTGTGTTTAGAGATAAATATACGCGACTAGCAGCAGTTTACAAAAAAATGTCTGGTCTGCAAAATCCTCCTGTTTCCACTCTAACTGATCACATGACACACTGGTAAAGTCTGCTAAAAGCTGTAAAACCCTTCACTTTGGAAGGGCATAGCTCCTAAACTAAACATTTTTTTTAGCAAACACCAAATACAACTTTGAAAGATCAACATCTCAAATTGAGTCTCTAGCTGCACATATATCAGCAACACAGGTAATAGAACCCATCTCATGAAGAAGATGTACAATTGGAAGTTGGAACCAAGTTTGTAGGACAAACGGTACAGGAGAAGATAGATGCCAAAAAATGGCAGAATAAATAATAATAATAATAAAGAGTGAAGAGAACAAAAGTGTGAGAGCTGCTACAGCTCGCACACTAATGACTTCAACAGCTAAGTATAAACCTGTACTTGAGGAGGAGTGAGGAGTCCTCTGTTGTCTTCTGTCAGCCTGGCAGGAAACACCTCTGCTGGCCTGTCTGCAGGAAACACTTACAGTTTAGTCCAATATCATCTGTGTAGTTCTAATACTTTTCTGGTAAAAATACAGATACTAAACAAACAAAAGTATAGTGATTACTGTGGCCACTCCTTGTCTTATACACATGTACACACATGTGGCCGAAATGAGTGCAACATGCTGTAAGTTACCATTTCAGCACAACTGAAGGTTACTGATCTTACAAAGTCTTATGCACTTCCAGTATTAACATGAGTTCAACAGCTAAGTATAAACCTGTACTTGAGAGGGAGTGAGGAGTCCTCTGTTGTCTTCTGTCAGCCTGGCAGGAAACACCTCTGCTGGCCTGTCTGCAGGAAACACTTACAGTTTAGTCCAATATCATCTGTGTAGTTATGATAACGGTTTTGCACTGTTCATAGCTGTAACTATTACAGCTATATAGTTGATATGACAGACAGACTGACTGACTGTTCCTATAACATTAACTGTGACGGAGCTGCGGTATTGTCACTAATACTAGTATTGCAATAATGTGAAGTATATCTCTGAATGAGAATGGGTTTGTATTAGCCTGGGCTTGACACTGCCCAGCAGGACACTGATGTTACAGCTTTTGGGTATGAGCAAGTTATCGTTTTTTGCACGTGCCATGCATCGACCAGGTAAACTTACATAGGCTACTGCAGCAACAGACACACATACAGTCAACGGTATGTGGGCTTAATATCACAATACAATGGCAAAATGTACAGGTTCCAAGTTTGAAGTCGGTATAGATCCATCCTTGAGCTGTTCGGTTGATAGATTTCATTTGGTTGTGAAGTTACAGCCTAGTGTTGTGGAATGGTAGATACACAACTGAACCATGAGAACCTGAAATGGCCTTCCAACTGAAGAGGAAGTGAAGTCTTAACTGAGGACCCGCCTTGATGAGAAGACTGACAGATTGCATTTTCATTTTCATTGTGTCCCTTGGAAAGCTGCTTGTAAATGTAAATGCTATGCAATAGACTGGGGGGCGCTGTTTCACTCATTGAATTTGAATAAAGTCCTCTATAGAGCAGACTAAGTCTTTGAAAATGAAATGTCAAATGCTGTTTCCATTTTCATTTTAATATGGTCCTAGAATGCTCACACAAGTATGTGAAAATGAAAATGATTACATTTTCATAAAAATTTCTATCTAACTAACACATACATATGTGGAAATGATAATGTTATTGTGGGATTACATTTTCATTTTCAAGTTTGCATGATAATTTTAATTTAGTCCCCTATATGCTTCCATAGAGTTGTTTAAGAAGTGTGGTCTGCTGGCAGAACACCTGCTGCTTTTTGTTCAGGTGCCTTCGTCCTGTTGCGGAGGAGACTTAAGTTTCGTTTTACGGTGGACGGACGGTAACATTACAGAGTTGCTGTTTTCTTTAGCTTGAAATAATCCCATACTTTGGACACTTTCTTTATGTCCCTCTTTTTTCTCTCTCTTCCTCCACTTTGCAAACAGCTCCATTATAATCACGTTGTGTTCACAGCGTAAGCGCGATGTGCGACACTAATAAATCTCTGTGTGAAACACCGTGCTGTTAAAGAATTTAACGAATTTATTAATCGATTTTATCGATTTAATTGATGAATCGTTTCAGCCCTAATCGTAGCATTGATATCAATAAACAGATATTTGAGGCTTTTATTTTTTTTCTCTGCATATGAAGAAAGTGCAGGTTGAAGGATTTGATGTTGCTCTACCTTCAATGCTGTTTCATATTGTTTATATATATATATGTGTGATCAATTTAATTTAAGGACTAAGAGTTGGTTTTTAGTAAAAGTTGCAGTAAAACCCCAGAAATTTATTGTACATCAACAATGAAATGTTAAGTGTCAAATTCATGTCATTGTTATGTGTGTGAATTTGTATTACTGATAGTGTGGGGCCAGAAATCTGTTTACACAGTTTCACTGGGGGGACCTAATTCCCTTTTTGGGACTAAAAGCTGGTCCCTGTGATGTTAATCATTAAATTAAAGGGTTAAGACTTGGTAAATATTGGACTGAACAAGTCATTGCCATGTGAAATCACTGGATGAAAAATAACGAGAACAGGGTGTTTTTCCATTTCGACCAATGAGATTTCACTGATGCCACCCACCAACACTTTGTTTTTCACCATCATCTGATCTTTGGTCAGCGAGTCATCAGCCAGTGGGATCAACTAAGTCAATTTTTTTTTATTGTGCAATGTGCCTCCTGTATTTGCTCAGGATGACTGGGACATCTACAGCTTTCACAACAACTCAACAGTGACCAGTCGTTATGCCACCACTGTCATCACAAGACGTGTGGCCAATTGTATGGACGAGTCAAAGGAAATAGAATTCCATGTCCGGATTCCTAAGTACACCTTCATCAGTAAATTCAAAATGTGTGTGAAGCAAAAATCATCTTTTAATATTTACAGGAATTTGCACAGTAAGAACTACACATTAAAGAATCAGGAAAATAAATCACGGGTCACTCCGGAGTATGTCTGTAAACAAAGACTTTTCTTTGGTCTTTTTCAGGCTTATAGATGGCCAGGAGTACAACGGGGTTGTGAAAGCTAAGGAGCAAGCTCAGCAGCAGTACACTGAGGCTGTGTTCTGTGGCCAAAGCGCTGTGCTTGTCAGGTACATGGATCAGTTTATTACCAGGTTTTATACAGATGAGTTTATATAATTAATTTGTAGAAGACCCTTGTGTGTCCTTTGGGATACCTTTTTCTTCAAATTCTGGCTACTTTCACATATTCTGGTCTCTAATATCCTTTAAACAACCTGAGAAGAAAATCTTCACTCTTTAGTGCAACTACTCACAACTCATATCCACACTTAGGCCATGATATGTGATGGGGGGTTATAAGTAGGCATTGTTTGATTATTGGGGTTACAAGCCAGAAAGTTGGGAACCTCTGTTGTAATACCATGATTATTGTCTCTGCTGTAGTTCTGTAGGAAGGACCCTCGAGGAATTTAAGGCCTCTGTGACTGTGGCTGCTCACAAAAAGGTCACCTTTGAACTCACATATGAGGAACTGCTGAAACGCAAGCTCGGCAAGTACGAACTACAAATCCACGCTCGACCCATGCAGCCTGTCAAAGACTTAAAGGTGTGTGTGTGTGTGTGTGTGTGTAACCCTTTCCTTTTGGTATCTAATTATATCCTCATCCAGGAAAACAATTTTGGGGTAATAACATCTTACATGGTCAGTGCTTCTAACAATTTTATGCTATTCTCAATGCCAGGCCGATGTGTACATGAGAGCCGGAATCAATTTCATTGAGGTTAAAGGAAGACTAAGCACCAAAGCCCTCGCTAATGCCATCACCAAAACACATGCAGACAAACAGGTACTACAAAGACATAGCAAAGTTATATTTTGAACTTGTTGCTCATCCATGCGCACATATTTTAGTACCATTCACACATTTTTATTTACTGCAAATCTTTATGTACCGTTTGCACTTCTGCATTTTATGGTTGCACCAGTGCTGTGAAACGCTGTGCAGTGACAGTTAAGTTGAATCAAATGAAATGTAATCAAAGGGAGAAGACCATGAAATCCATTCGTTGCCTTCTGTGCCCAGGTCAAAAAGAAGTGCGCTTAAAGGCATTGAAAATGTACTAGAAATTCACATAGTATGCATAGTACATTCATACTCCTAACATGCTTATTAAAGATATATTACAGATATATTCTCCTGACCTTTAACATACTTCTGAAAAGTATACTTTGAAGAAATTGGTAATAACTATATACTATAAACTTTTAATAAATATGCTTAAATAAAACTATTTTTCACAACATTGTAGTGTACTTATTAAAAATACATTTATTTAACTCTAAGTAAATACTATTTAGGTGTACTTTGTGGAAGTACATTGTTAAACAATTACACTTTTAGTGGATTACAAATATATTTATGTCAAATATGCTAATTATGTAGGCTACTGCAAAATATTTATGTAATTGCCACTTGTTTCAGCCTGATTCCAGAAGTAAGATTTTTAAAACATATTTTTTTAACATTAAAATATATTTTTCAAAAGCATATTATTTCTTATATTTTTTTAATCAGGTAAATAGCTAGTTGAGATCAGAGTTCTCTTTCATAAGGGTAACCTGGCCAAGAAGGAAGCAGCACATGTTAACTTAACAAACAACGTATAGTAATAAGCATACTTTAAATCATAATGTTGTTATACTTGTTTCTGTTTGTAAACAACACATGGGTACACAGGGACGAAGTGTGCCCTCCCGCCCAGCCCACTAGCGCAGTGCATTCAATTGGACCAATCAGAATCAAGGTTTTCAAATCGAGGACCCAATCACACAGCGTGATCACACAGTCCGCTTCACGAAAGTTAAGGTGTTAACTGTCTGTGAGAGGGAAGCTATTTTTGGCCAGAAATTATTTTGTTTCTCAGGTTTCCTTTGTTTTACTTTACCTACTCAGACTTCGAAGGCGGACACCACAGACATAATAGGAAAAGAACACAGAAGAGAAGAATATCCGGTCAGCTCCCTGCAGAAGTTAAATGTGAAAAGAGCTAACGTTAAAGGTGCCTGGCGAGTACAAGCAGGAGAGGACAGACGCAGATACTGCCAGCAAAAATCGTCTTTCTTGGTAAATTTAACATTATTATTATTAGCAAGACAACACAATTGTGTAAATTAACTAAAGTTGCGCTCACTCTGGGTTTGAAAATATTTTCCTTGGTGGATAGCTCTGGTGTGCATTAGCTAATGCTAGCACGTGGATTTATAGATTTATTAGCTAAAGTTAGTTACAGTGAGTAATAACTCAGTTATAACAACAATGTTAAAGTGTACAACTTATGTGAGAATTTTTTTATAATATAATTATAATGTTTTTATGTCCTGCAATGACTGACTACACAATAATAGCATGCAATGTTATATAAAATACTGGTCAACTTTATGTCCATTTGTATGGTCCTAGATCCTGTATTCAACTTTTAAAACTTGAACCTAACTTTAAACAACCCAGAGTTGGAATTTCCTGCCTTAGCTCAAGAAAATTAAATAAAGAATAATAATAAAGATTTTCTATAAGAATAGAATTACAGTGTTTATAATGATACGCAAATGAAGAACAAAACTAGGTGGAAGTACTGGCCTAACTGAATATTTAAACTCATTTGCAACTGTATTTCTTTTCTTTTAGAGCTTCCTGGGATCTCAATGTGCTCATAGGTATGTCTGGCTCCTGCACACCATCACTGTTTTTGCTCTCACTACATGTCAACGGGGTCAGACTAAATAAACAAATATTCTTGTGATAAAATAATTATATTAAAAATATTGTTATACATTAAGTAATTGGCTACTTTTGTACTTAACAAATTGACTGCTGTGTTGATGTGAAATGACATGTAGACAGCACAGTTGTTAAGCAAGTCTGAATGTCTGTTATTTGTTGTACCTGTTTAATAACATTTTATCATATACAGCTCCTTGGCTGAATGTACAGTAGTGTTTATGTAATGTTTTTGATCATGTTGTAATGGAAGAACTGAGCATTAACTGAGAGGGGTCACTTGTGGAAAACCATTTCACCTGAACCCAGTTAGCATTATCAGAACAGTTAGACATGATGTCATATTGTGTTTCAGCAACTTTAAACAAAATAAAAAAATCACACAATGGTAGTTAGTTAATTAGAGGTAATATTGCTTTGATATAGACAAAATATTTCCTTTTCCCTTCCACAGATGCTGTGTGATAAAGCAGTTTCCAAATCCCATAGTATCTGCAGTCGCAGAAAATGCAACGAGTCCTACTGAAAGATAACCGACCCTCCACTTGAAGGATAAGGATTGTGACATTTTTCAGTTTCAGTTTGGTTTCACCATTTGTACTGTAAGCTTGTGACGAAGTACCTTCACTACAGTTGAGTAAGCCCTTGGACTGCCATACCAACGAGCCTGGCTCTTTGGCATTGCTGTCAAAGTTGCATGTTTGTGTGGTGTCCGAACGATAATGCTGCGTGATGTGTTGAGAAGAAATCCGCTTGACACTGTTCTTGATTATAAAAGTTTATTACATCAAAGAATTCAGCATCAATTACAAGCTCTGCAGCAGCTTGGAGAGTGACCCAGCCCGATAACCACTCTGTCTCTCTGTACATTGAACACAGCTTATATAAGACATGTTTAGGTCTCTGCTAAATACCATATAAGGGCACAGTGCTGTAGACTAAGTGTAACCATCTGTTAGACACCACTTCCCCTACCACTGTGTCTCTCTCCAGCTCTGGGTCAGGGGTCAAATTCTATAGGAGGGTTCACTCTTGGTTCACCCATCAATCATTACTTCCTCATAAGGGTTCACTGTTCCTTTCACCAGCTGCAGAGCATTATATTAAACTGTAATGTCAAAAGCATATGTTATACACCACATTTGGTATCCTGTAGACCTGTGTTTGAATCTGGGCAGGGTGACAGATATGGTGTCAGAAGTGGGATGGCCTGCTGTGAGGTCATCTGAGTGTCCAAACAGCATGAAGGACCCCCATGGGTAACATTAATGATGGGATGTATATAGTGTATTTTTATGTAATACTGGTCATGTCATCATTTTACTGATTATATTTTATTTGATTATTTATTTTGCTCAAGATGTGATACATGCTGCTGTACCTTTTAATGTCTGGAATTAATTTTTGTAATGTACACAAAATTAAAGTTTTTAGTTGTCTGTATGTGTGTGTGTTTGTAAAATAATTGTTTTAACTGATTTTTATTAAAAAGGGCATTTTGCAAGGTATTTTTAATGCACTAATAATGAATTATTCTTATACTGAATGGTTTCATAAAGCAGCTTCCCAAGATATTAATAGTGGCTCTTGGAGTATACTAGTAATAAATTACTAATACACTGAAATGCTAATAAAAATGTTCAGGGAACACATTTAAAATATATTTAAACTGTTCAAGTATAGCACAAAAGGGTATTTTAAGTTCAATTTAAAGAAGTATATTTAAATTACGTTTAAATACGTTAAATTAAGTTGACTAAGTATTTCCAAAATAACACATTTAATATACACTTAGTATAGTACAATTAAAATATGATAAGTGCATCCAAAAAAAGTGCTACTGAAGTATATTTCTTTTTCACCTGGGTGTCCTATCAAGAGTTTCTAAAACCTGGTTAATCCTGTTTCCAGGCGTGGGTGCATTTCTACCCGACAGAGAACCAACAGAAAACATGTGACAGCTGTGGAGATCAGGGTATGAATGGAGATCTGGTTATTGTTTATGATATCAACAGGGACACCTCACTTGGAGACATTAAGGTACGGTAAGAGTTCATTTCCTGGACAACTGTTGTCTTTCAGTGGTTTATTAGCATTGCACATACATAATCAGCAAGAGCTAAATGGATCTTTTTTCTTTCCCTGTCTTTTTTACAATCTTTTCTAATCAATCAAACTTTCTTCTTAGAGATCATCCTTTGCGGAAGTCTTTTCAGCCGCTGTGATGTTTACAAGAGGCGTGCCAAACAGCTGGACCAACCCATAGTCCTATTAAAAATAATCAAATGCACGATCAAACTTTCTGCCCTTCATTGTTTGTGTAGCGCCTCATAACTGCATTCCTTAATGTCATTTCACTTTGATATCACTGATTGTTGAATGTGATGTGTGGATGGGCAGCAGGACTGTAAAAATGAACATTAAATAGCGGCTGTATGAAGTGTTTCCCCAGTGACACTGTGCGCATTTACGCACGAGTCACAGCAACATAAATGAATAATAATCTCTCGACATGCCGATTGGATCGGTCAGGATCTGGTGTTAATTCATGTTCTGTGTTCTTCTTCACATCCAAACGGTCTCACACACAGTCCAGTTTCATATAGTAAAAGTGTTTGGAGTAAAGCAGCTGTCCTCCTGATCAACCCTAAGCTCCATCAGAGTCTAAACATGGATTACAGAGGCTGAAAGCTTAAAGTTTGTCTGTTTTAGCCCACGATATTTGCTGTGACATTACTGCACGGATGGAAACGTTTAAATAACTGACAGCAGTCTCTCTAATCAAAGTAAATCGTTAAAGAAAACACTCATACATCAATATAACACACAAGAAAGAAACAACCTGGAAAGCTACAGGGACCGGTGGAGGTGGGGGTAAAACGTCCATGCAGATGCTTGTCTCTAAATCTGATAAAATAATTAGTTGATGGGGGGCAGGTGGATGATTTAGGCGCATGTCCGAGCCGATCTGCGGATCACATCAATTCAGCTGCTATAATCGTGACAAAACAGCTGCTGAAGTCAAATTATTAGGCTGTAATATACACCAGAGCATTCAGCACTGATCTGTTTCATGTTTTAATAGCCTAATAGGGCCCATGTAGTCTGCACGTTATTCCAACAGTAGAGTCCTGTGATGACAGCTGTAATTGGGGCTATTTGAGATAAATGTTACTGTGTCATTTTGTAAAGGGACTGATGATGAAACGCTCATCTCATCAAGTTGAGGGCTGTAATGATCTCCTGTTTACAGGCAAAAGGCGCACCGCAAAAAAGTGGTAGGCCTAGTCTACTGTGTAGCCTAGTGAATGATTAGTCTGCTGTTTTCAACAGATGGTATAATGTTTACTGGAACCTCGAGATGTTTCTACATGTTATAATGTTGACAGACATGTTTCTGGATTATGAAGAAATAATCTCCTAGCCTTTAGTGGCAAGATGACAGATGATGCAGCTGTGCAACAGGTCATATTTAATTGACGTCGCTTTAAAATATGACGGCTCCGAGGAGAGGACATCTCATTTCGTTAAATGCCCGTTTCCTCGACTCCTCTCTCCTCGCGTCTCCTCCTCGACTCCTCAAGCTCACATCTCGGGTGGGAGGGACTAAAATGCGCCTTGAGAGCTGTTTCTCAATCTGCGTTCCTTTCTGTACTTGTGTTCTTGTGGACTTGTGGAAACGTCATCAGTTGCAGCCAAAGTACTGTTTCAATTCAAAAGTCCACATCTAGCCAAGTACAGTCAAATACCCGGATGTGTTCTCGCTCCGCCCGTTTTACGGAGCCTGCATTGGTGGTGACTTGTGTGGACTTCGGATAGCCAGATATCCCAGAATGCATTTCGCCGGCAAAAAGCTGAAATGTCGGACGAGAAAACTCTTAATTAACTTATAATACTGCTGTTCTTGTGTCGCATATAGTAGTTTAAAGAGTTTTTTATGCGGGAATATAGTTGTTTAAACTCCAAATATGTTTCTCAAGACAGAGGTGATTTAAAAAATTGCTATGACGTTTTCGGAGATGTGAGGTCCCGTCTGCTAATGGTCCGGCCGTCATCAAGTCCGCTGCTGTTCCAATTGCTGAATGACCATTCCTGGAAGTTTGTACTCCCGAGCCGAACTTGCCAAGTGCGAGCTTTAAAGTACAGAAGTCCGAACTTGGCAAACTCGGTATTGGGAAACAGCCTATGTCTGGTCTGTAATGGAAAATAGAGCACGGCCAAACAGAGTCAAGTCGAGTCAAGTCGAGGTGGTACTGGTAATGGAAAAGCGGCTAAACAGTCACTTTGAAAGAACCGTCAGAAAACAAGATTCCTGTAGTTTGATGGATGCAGATGAAACACTGGAACACTCACAACGCAGCGCATGCTTATGCATTGTGTGCATTTTGTGGACTGGGAAGGGAAGGAATTGAATGAAAGCCAACAATGCCACCTAGGGAATTGCCCCCCAGGAAATACTATTTAAACCTTGATTAATTGAAGGAGAATAAAGAGAAAAAAGGCACACAGGAACGTTACTGATGAGGCAGAGACGTGATTGAAAATATATTTTTAAATCAGTGAAGAAACAATTGGGGACTGGAACTGCTGAAAGGAAAAGAAATGTGAACCAGCAACAAAACTATGATAAAAAAGGTAGATAAAACTACTTTGTTACAATAAACAGCTTTAATATAAATCCAGTGCCCCGAAATAACTAACCAAAACTACGCCGAGGTCAGTTGTGGAGAGGCAGACTATGCTGAGGAGTGCCCAGGAGTGCTAGCACTATCCGACCCACCTCAAGTGCAGCACTTCAAACCTCCCAGCATTATTCACAGAAAAATGGTGCAGTCCATGTAGTGCCCCCATTACTCAAATGCAGAAAAGTGAAGGGACCTTGCCACGGGTGTCTAGCCTCCCAACAAGATGGCACCCTGCTCAGTATATAAACTGAATACAGAAGAAACAAACAAAGTAACGAAACCAGTAAGTAATCCAGTTGGCTGAACAATTGCAAACTGTACTAACCAAAGAGGGACAAAACAGCAAATAGGCAAAACAGGAAACTAAATAAACTAAGTAGGCAAAACAGCAGTGGTCTAAAACAAGAAGGAACCAACTCTGAGATGGGTCATGAAGATACAACAATCAGTGGTCACAGGGCAGGAGAAAAGGAGGTTCTTAACAGTGTCAAAGTGCAGGTAAGCAACATAATCAACTGTTAAGGGAAAATAGATGTGAAACTATTCCTTTCACATACCTGAGCCACAAACACCAACCACAGCAGGGACAGATCAGGAAGCAGAGAGAGAGCAAGAGAACGCAGGTGTCTTGCCTAAGCCTAATAAGGAGGTTGGCCAGGGAAGGAGTTAAGTCAAGGCGGCATTCAACACCACGTGAGCATATGAAACATTTCATGATCAGTTTATTTAAGAAGGGGGGAAAAAACACACACAACCTTCCACATGTCAGTCTTGCGCATTACCAACTAAGCTAACCAAACACCATAAAAGGTTGTCTCCATATTATGCCTTATATTCTCACCCACCATAAATAAAATTGGATAAAAACAATTGGATAAAAAAAATTTCTCCGATGCAAAACTTATTTGCCAACCACTGCTGTATATTGTTATTTCTTCTATGAACGTACGTATTCAAAGTAATGATGAGCGTCTACACTGCCAGAATTCTACAAGAAGAAGAAAGTAGTGACAAAAGGCGCTCTGTAGCGCTGTTTGTCCATTTTCAGCCATTGTAGAAACATGGCGACGTCGACAGAAGGAGGGACCTGTGGTTATGTAGATAGAAATGACTCATTCAAAGGTAATAAAAACATAATGGTTCAGTAGCTCATACTTGCTAACCCTCACATTTCTCGATTTGTGTTCACAACTTCCTGTCCTTTTCATTACATTCATTACTAAAAAATAAATATATATAGGCATATGCCCCAACTCTCTCCCTCTTGCACTCTCTATACTGTTTCCGCTTGGACAAGTAGCATGCACGTGACTCAGAGAGCCAGAGGTGGTAGAGGTAGAGGAGACATGTTTAATAATGGCTTTTGTGGATCTTTTTTATTCACCATGGATCCATCTAGCGCAGAATTGAGACTATAAAGGGACATCAGAGTTGCATCAATTCCGATCTGAATGTCAGAGGTTGCTTTTCAGAAAATCAGATTTGGTTCTCATATTAAAGAGACTCAAATCCCATCTGGAAAAGATCAGATTTCATGTGACTTGGGCTGATTTGAGTCACCTTTGCCTACAGTCTGAACGTAGCCATATTTAGTTTGAAAAGACAAGAAAAATTTTTTTTTGTATAATATGGGACCTTTAAGGATCACATACATTTAATAACAATAACATTTTTTTTATTTTTTTTACCTCAAAGTGCCTGTCTTGTGTCTTTGCAGGGGTGACACATCTTGAAACAATACGGTCAAATGTAAGAGGGGTTATTGCTTACAAATTCCCTCTCTACTGTCTTGGTTTTGGGTTTGATGTCAATTTTGAGTTCCTTGAGAAGATGTCACTGCAGAACAATAGTGCGGCCCGACGAATTTATGAAGACTCTGATGCTGATTTACAGCTAAAGGTTTTAATCATTACACTTTTAAATCACTTGTACTTCCCACAATTTATAGATTTGTTACATAATTGATCATTGGTGACTTTGGAGACATTAAACATTCATACAGTGTCCATACTGTATGTCAACAGGGTTTCTATGAAGAGGTGGCCACTCCTCTGTTGACAGATGTGACAATGATCTATGCTGGTGCGACCAATCTAACCCAGACTAACTTCAGCCAGTATTATAATGGCTCTGAGATTGCGGTGGCCGGTCAGATAACTGACAACGACATGAAAACTTTCAGTCCACAAGTTGTGGCCATTTCGGTAAGGATCATCCACACTGCACATTAGACAGCCACATACAGAGGGTTTGGGCCTACCTCACAGTCAAACACCTTCTGGAGAAAGAGAGAGTGAGATGTCGACCATTTTTTCTTGATGTTCTTGTTTGTTATCAAATATTTATTGAAGGGCTGCAAACCTCATATTTCTATTTAATCAACAGTTGACAAGAGTAACAGGAGTAGTAGGCCTATGTGTGTATATCTGTGTTGGTGCACATTCATTTTAGGGGAAGTCAAACAGTTACTGAGGAAACAACAAAAATATTATCAGAAGCAGTGTTGGGCAGTAACGCGTTGCTGTAATAGTATTACTTTCCCCAAAAACTAAGTAGTGTAACTAATGTACAAACGGTAATATTACTAGTTACTAAGGCAAGTACGCTGCTTTACTCGTTACTGAACACACCATTCTTGACGTAAATCCACGACTGTGCGACAGCACAGCGGGACCCGACTTTGTTGTTCATGTCTGCTGATAGCCAAACACTAAAGGAAGAATGTAGAACGAGGGAGACAGGCGTTCTGTTCACAGTTGTAAGTAGTTGCTGCCATTATTGTGTCGCAGTCAAAGATGCAAAGAACATTGTTCTCTATTGTAAACTCTGTGCGACCAGCAAAAAGCTTTCAACTGCTGTTATGGATATGATGTTAGTTAAAAAGTCAGGAGAGACTGCTTTGTTTGGGTGAAGGGGGGTGGTAGGGAAAGCAGTGTTTCCCATAATTAGCCTGTAATTTGTGTATTTATCAATGCGGCCACATGTTGATTTTCTAAATTTTAACTTGGCGTATTTAAAATCAATGTTGATTAAGGAGCTGTATTGAGGAGCATATATTCGTGCAGCACCTCCTGGCTTGCTGCCTCTTTCTTAATTCAGTTCAATTCAAAATAGCTTTATTGGCATGAATGTGTAACAATATTGCCAAAGCATCATACATACTACATAAGAATAATCAACCCCATACATTTCATTAAACAAGTAATTAAAGTGTATGTATGTTTGTGTTAAAAACAATAAAAAAAAATATATAAAAAATTAAAATAAATAAACAGTAAGCGTGTGTGTGTGTATTAATAGACAAATTAAAAAAATAATTAATTGATTAAAAAATAACAAATTAAAAAAAGAAATCAGTATCAAATGTAAAAACAAAACAATCAAAATAATAATTTGAAAATCTGTACAATTATTTATCAGTCTGAGGTTCCACTGGTTGTCATCACTTCATGGCATGAGGAGACATATTTTGCAGCAATTATTTCACATTTGGGCATTTCTCCCAGTAAATAGGGGAGTTTCTGTGTGTCTGATATGAATTCGAATTCGGGGTATATTTGGGAAATGTTTGTAAAGTGTTTTTGTCTTAGTGTTTTATATTTGGGGCATGGGGTTAGAAAGTGCAGCTCTGTCTCTACCTGTCCCCTGGCGACCCTTTTCTATGGTCACTCAGTCTGTATGCTGTCGACATTTTTCTTAGTTTGGGACATTTTATTGTACTCAGGTAATTTACCAGTGTGAATTCTCTTTTTAGGGTCAGATAACATTGTAATTTACTTTGTGTTTTGGTAATTTATTTCCAGTATTAAATACATTTCTCTCTCTCTCTCTCTCTCTCTCTCTCTCTCTCCTGTACAAACCTGTCCAATGTTAGAATAATATTACTTTTTAAGGCGTAATAAATAACTAGTAATATATTACAATTTCTGAGTAACTTGAGTAACACTGATCAGAAGATAGCGTTAGCCATTAAACATTATCATACTTTACTGTCATGTCAGCTGTCATATTTAAAACATTTGTACACACTTGTGACACAGGCTGCAGTTATCTGGACCTGAGAAGCAGAATCAGAATGTGAAGAAAGAGGCCTTGGAGCTGTCGCTGAAGTACAGCTTTGTGACCCCACTGACATCCATGGTGGTCACCAAGCATCTGGGGGAGAACACCGATGTGCTTCATAAACCCAAAGAAGGTGCAACACCACGGGCATGGCAACCTCTTGTAGGATCTGGTCCATGGATGTTAAGGCCAAACGCTGGTTCCATGGGCTACAAAGATACTGGTAAGCAGCACACATTTGAAGAAAAAAAACCCACAAAACCAATAGTGTCCAACGTTTCTTTTTCAACATTTCTCTTTTATCAGTGCAGTTACATGATTATGGTAAGACACATCTGCATGATTTGGTATCAGGTGTTATTACAATGTATAAATACAATTATTACATTTAATGAGAACTACAGATTTAGACCAGTTTGTGGGTGGCATTTATATTGATTAATCAAATTTCAAGTGTGGGTGTGGAACATATGTATGAAATACAGGTAATTCATTAATTGATTAGCTGATTGATCAATTAAGTGTTTTAATTGTTTGCTATTATATAGTAACACATTATTTGTTAACATTCAGTGAATGTGAACATTGATTGCTAATACTTAAGAGCAGCAATAGTAGACCGTTGGTGATGGTCCTGGATATGAAAATGCATGACACACAATTTTGCCACAATACAAGCTAATTTGTAAAGATCAGTTTTAAGTAAAAAAGTAAATAAATAACTGTCATACATCAGCATCTCTTTTTTAACAGCAGGTGCCTTTCCAGGTATAACAGGACACATACACTATTATTTAAAGGTGTGGAATGCGATTCTGATGAAAGATTGGTGATATTTTTACTCAACAGCCAAACAAATACACCCCTCCCTTCAATGCTTCCTCAGAAGCTCTGCCACCAGAATTCATGGACACGCTTTGCTAAGGCAGCGCCATTAGTAAACGGGCATTGTGGCAGCATCCAGACCGTCTGCTGCCCGATGGTGGCTGAAGCAAAGCAAACATTTGTCAGCCTGCGCCAAACAGGTGAAAGCCCAAATGCAAAACTCAGGAGCAGATATACATTTCAGGGATTTTATTCACACTTACTCAATTCAGCACGGGAGTACACAGAAAGGTGCAGAGAAAGTCCAAAATAAAGCAGGTAATCCAAACTCCCACTGAACGCATATACAGGACACACGACAAACAGCAACACACGACAGAGCGTATTCACGCTACAATGAATGGACAGTGAATGAACAGAAACACCAAACATATCTACACAGGGACTAACGAGCAGGGCGGAAGCAACACACATGATCAAGATCAGGGCTAACGAGGCAGAGAGACACCAGGGGAAAACAGAGAGGCAGGCAGGCAGAGTGATAACTGGGGGAACGGACACAACCTGGACGCTAAACACAGACATAAACTAGGACCCAGAACCAAAATGCAGAGCTAAATCTAAGATACATGGCAGAGAGGTACAAAGTGAGCTAAACAGAACCTGCGAATGAACAATGAAATAAACAAGGCTATACAGAGAACACAAGACAAGGAACAAAACTCCAAACCAGAAAACATGGACCAACTGTTACACAGAGGGGAACAGAGACAGAACTAACCAGGAAACAGGAACTAACAACACTCAACAAGGAACAGAATGGAAATAATAATATTAGCTGACAGATAATAACTAGATGAATAATAACCCAGACTGAATAACAGATACCAAACTGATCAGTAAGTAAACTCACAATGAACTAAACTCAAGAGAACAGAACTAAAATGTAGATGCAAAACCCAAATCTTAGAATCAAGAACACAGTGTGGATAAGGGAGACAAGATAACAGGACAACACAGTCAACAGACTAGGATAAGAAAACAAAAACAGATTAACATAGAACCAAACGGACAACAAAACGACAGAGCTCACCATAAACACAGACTGGACACAGAACAACAGACAAGTAAGACACAAACACAGTATCCAAAACACAGCATATTAAAAACAAAGTTGTGTTTTTAGGCCTTTATGACTATAAAATCCTTTAGAAACATTGTATTGAGAAATACCATGATATAGGGCACAAGAAGCAATAAGTTCCAAGCACTCTGACTAGTCAACAAGACATTTAGAACGTGAACAAATCATAGATATTTTCATAAAAATGGACGCCCTCCCAATGAAGCTAAAGAACTAACTAAAATGAAAGAAACCATCTTTGGGAAAAGTTTATTTGACCTGTATTTTGATCCACTAACATGAAAGAGGCAAGGTTTATGACCTAAACTGCAGCCAGCCACCAGGGCCCCATTTCAGAAAGCAGGTTCAACAAAATCTGAGTGTAAACCTGAACTCTGGGTTGACGAACTCTGAGCTATCAAACCGATGCCGATGTTTCTAAAGACATAATTGAGTTCCAATATGTGCTTTGATATTGACAGTCTGAATGAGGAAATGCAGACAGCCGCTTCAGGCTCCGCAGGAGGGGAGGAATCAGAAAGAAACTTGGCGTTTGTTGAAGTAAACCTCCTCCCGAGCAGGTTAGGTTCACAGCGTAAGTTGCCGGGGTTACAGACCTAAATCCACAAAGGCAAACGAAATGTGAATGTGTTTAATCAAAAACATTTATAGATCAGCAAGAAGGAGTGGGAGAGACCTTGCGAGTGAACTTACAAGTCATGAGTATAGTAATTTTTAAAGAGGTGGTCAGGAGCTAGCCGAGTGAAATGGAAAGGATTTCCTGTTCTTCCCGTTTTTTATTATTTTATTATCCTCACGGATCAAATTTCTCCCAAATTATGATAAGTGTTCTCAACTTTCTGTTCTTTTCATTACGGTTTCTGGCGCTGTACAACGCTGTACAACAATCTGCCCCACAACTCACTCCCTCTCTCTCTCCCCACTGTGTCCGCTCGACAAATAGCATGCACATATCTTTCAGGTGTAAGAAAGGGAATTTGTGAGTTGAATGTGCTGACAACAAAATCACACAAAAATTATCAATGGAAATCAAATTTATCAACCCATGGAAGTCTGGATTTGGAGTCACACTCAAAATCAAAGTGGAAAACCACACTACAGGCCGATCCAACTTTGATGTAATGTCCTTAAAACAAGTCAAAATGAGGCTCAGTAGTGTGTGTGGCCTCCATGTGCCTGTATGACCTCCCTACAACACCTGGGCATGCTCCTGATGAGGTGGCGGATGGTCTCCTGAGGGATCTCCCAGACCTGGACTAAAGCATCCGCCAACTCCTGGACAGTCTGTGGTGCAACGTGGTGCTGGTGGATGGAGCGAGATATGATGTCCCAGATGTGCTCAATTGGATTCAGGTCTGGGGAACGGGCGGGCCAGTCCATAGCATCAATGCCTTCCTCTTGCAGTAACTGCTGACACACTCCAGCCACATGAGGTCTAGCATTGTCTTGCATTAGGAGGAACCCAGGGCCAACCGCACCAGCATATGGTCTCACAAGGGATCTGAGGATCTCATCTTGGTACCTAATGGCAGTCAGGCTACCTCTGGCGAGCACATGGAGGGCTGTGCGGCCCCCAAAGAAATGCCACCCCACACCATTACTGACCCACCGCCAAACCGGTCATGCTGGAGGATATTGCAGGCAGCAGAATGTTCTCCACGGCGTCTCCAGACTCTATCACGTCTGTCACATGTGCTCAGTGTGAACCTGCTTTCATCTGTGAAGAGCACAGGGCGCCAGTGGCGAATTTGCCAATCTTGGTGTTCTCTGGCAAATGCCAAATGTCCTGCACGGTGTTGGGCTGTAAGCACAACCCCCACCTGTGGACGTGGGGCCCTCCTGTTTCTGACCGTTTGAGCAGACACATGCACATTTGTGGCCTGCTGGAGGTCATTTTGCAGGGCTCTGGCAGTGCTCCTCCTGCTCCTCCTTGCACATAGGCGGAGGTAGCGGTCCTGCTGCTGGGTTGTTGCCCTCCTACGGCCTCCTCCATGTCTCCTGATGTACTGGCCTGTCTCCTGGTAGCGCCTCCATGCTCTGGACACTACGCTGACAGACACAGCAAACCTTCTTGCCACAGCTCGCATTGATGTGCCATCCTGGATGAGCTGCACTACCTGAGCCACTTGTGTGGGTTGTAGACTCCGTCTCATGCTACCACTCGAGTGAAAGCACCGCCAGCATTCAAAAGTGACCAAAACATCAGCCAGGAAGCATAGGAACTGAGAAGTGGTCTGTGGTCACCACCTGCAGAACCACTCCTTTATTGTGGGTGTCTTACTAATTGCCTATAATTTCCACCTGTTGTCTATTCTATTTGCACAACAGCATGTGAAATTGATTGTCAATCAGTGTTGCTTCCTAAGTGGACAGTTTGATTGACTTTGAGTTACATTGTGTTATTTAAGTGTTCCCTTTATTTTTTTGAGCAGGGTATGATAGTGAGGTAGAGGAGGAAGACAACGATAATATGTATATGTCAAAGTCGCATCAATTCTGATGTCCAGACTGAGGTCGCATTTAAAAAGATCTGATATGTATCGGATTTGGACCACATATGGAAGTGGTCCAGTTCCGAACAGGAAAAGATCAGATTCCATGTGACTTGGCCTGTTCACACTGTCATAAAAAGATCATATCTGAGTCACATATGGGCAAAAAACTTTCGGCTTTTTCACTTTGCAAACCTATTACATGCACATATAACTCAAAGGAGAGGGAAAAGCCAAAAAGCATAATACCACCTGTTTAAGATCATTGGTAACTACATTTACTGCATCCTAATTTCATGTTATCATGTTTTTCTTTCAAATCAGGCAGAAGTGGAATCACTGGAGGTAGGACATGGGTACGCATCTGCACTGTTCTGATAAAAAAAAAATATGGTACCAACCACCCATGTTGAGCAATCAGGTAGCATACACCCCCACTAAGGCTGGACAGTCCTTTATATCTGTTCTTCTAATGACAGAAAAATGAATACGAATGTTCTGCATCTACATCATAACACACACACTGAAAGACAATCAGTTGTAGATTAGAATAGTTCTACAAAATGTAGGCATGAAATATAAAAACTCAAACAATTTAAACTGATTTACAGTTGTTAATCACAATTTGTTGTGAGTATTTAAATCAATTTTAGATTAAGCATGTGTGTGTATTTAGTGGTTTGTTTTGAAGCTGAGGTTAGGTGTCAGAAAATGGATGTCAGTTAATACAATCTTGAATCAATTAGTTGTTTGAAAATGGAGAAAAATGTTGTGTAAGCTCAAGATGAGGTCTTAATAAATATCTTGTTTTGTCCACAACCAGAGAATTGTAAACTTTTTGTTCTTAAAAAATTACAAACTCAAACTGATTATCAAAATAGTTGGCAATTAATTTAATAATCGTTAACTAATCGTCTGTGTATCCAGCAGCCATCAGCTGCGGTGTAAGAAATAGCTTCCCACTGGACCCATAAATGTATTCTCCCTGAAAAGAGAAAGGGTGGTACAGGAGGCATTTAGAAACAGGATACGGTTTGTCTTTGTTTGTTTGATCTACAACTGGACACTCATGATCACAAACAGGGAGAGGAATGATTCATGTCCATAAAACCTCAAAGTGTTTGATCCTAACGGGTCGTCATGAAAAAAGTTTGAATTCAAATTGACGTTCAAGACAAGTGACCTGTTTATGCTTAATATTTCTGTAGGATTTTATGAAGTTAATCAAAATGCAATCATCATGGGCGAGAGAAAAACTCAACGCACCTATTTGTGCAACGAAAGAATAAAGGCAGTGCTTGAAGTGGGGCCGCAGTACCAGAACTTTTACCTTTTACTCTTTGGTGTGAATTTTTCTTGCGAACTGGCACTTATCATAAAGGCCCTAAATAAACTGCATCACCCAGGGGGCACTGTATTATGCACACTTGTTTTCGCCTGTCTGCTTTTCTCTTATGGCGACTAGTCTAAGTAACATCACATAAACCTTACAAATCCTGGCTTCAAAAGGGCACAAAGAGAACATGAACAGAGTCAGAGGATGACACAACAGAGCTTCAAAAGTAAAATTCTACCCTGCCAGGTGCTGATCATTTGTGTAACATCCTAAAAGTAGAGAGAAGAGAAAGTATCCAGTCACTTGTCAATGTCTCTTTTGTGAACTGACCAATCACAGCCTGGACATTATCAAAAGCTTGACGTGCAACAGTAAACTTTCAAATGTTCGAACAACACTGTTGTGCAAGAATTGTGTTGTGATTATTGACAAGTAATAACTTGGAATTCACAAATTAGAGAGTAACTACCAATGTAGACCTTTCTTGCACAAGGACTTAATGAAAGACAAAATGCAAAAACTGCAAAAATGATAAATGTTGATTGTGTATTTCTCAAACTGCAGTATTGTACGTCTAATAGTTACTCATCCAGGGTGAAAGGTGAATAAGGGGAGAACTGACACTTATTTTTATCCACTTCAAGCACTGGATTATATACAGTCTATCTGTTTCTGTTGCACATGAAAACATTTCATCCTTTGATTGTAGAATTCTCAAAGCAAAGGCTCAAACTAGATCCTTTTAAATCATCTGGACTGGATACTCTGGACTCTTTCTTCTTGTAGTTAGAGGCTCAGCTCCAATAACTTGTCTGTTAAACCTTTCCCTGCAGACCTATGAATTCCATCAGACCTGGAAATCTGCTGCAGACATCCTACTCTTTAAAGGGGGTGACAGCCATCTTGCTTTGCCTTTCCCAAGTCTTTGAGAAACTGGTCAATACACAACTCACCCACCAACTGAAGTTACACAGTATTTAACCACCATGCAGTTTGGCTTGAGGACCGACCACGGGTGTGTCTTTGCAACACTTGAAGTGTCAGAAAGAAGAGAATGCTTTGTGGCTGTATTAATTGACCTGGCCTTTTATTCTGTGGCCTATTGCATCTTGTTTGACAGGCTCAAAGACTTAATGCTCAATTCCAATTTTTTTCCCCAATTCGATATTTTTGAATGATAGTTTCAAATATGGCCCATATCAGACTGAAGTGTGAATAGTCCACAACCTGCAAGTGACCCACATGCGCAGAAAAATAAAATGACATCACATGCAGCACGTTGTCATACAGAAGTAAACAAGGAGCCACAGAGGTTAGCTCCGGTTAGCTCCTACTTGCTACTGTCCCGATTTTCATTGTGGGCCGTATTTCATTGCCCTCTCCTGGGGGCACATTTCTCCCAAATTATGAAAAGTGTTCACAACTTTCTGTCCTTTAATTACATTCATTACTGTTTCTGGCACTGTGCAATGCATATGCCCCACAATTAACTCTCTCTCTCTACTGTTTCCGCTCGGACAAGTAGCAAGCACTTGACTCAGAAGAAATCTCGCCATCGGTGGATTTCAGCTGGAAGGGAATTTGTGGGCAGATGATTGCAAGGTAGAGGAGAAAGAGAGCCACATGTTTAATAATGGCTTTTGTGGAGCTTTTTGGTTCACCGCAGCTCTATCTAGTGCAAAATTAGTGGCTCTAGAGTGATGTCAGAGTTGCATCAGTTCGAATCTGACTTTCCAGACTGAGGTCACATTTTAAAAATCTGTAACGGATTTGGACAAAATATAAAAGTGGCTTAAATCCAAACTGGAAAAGATCAGATTCCATTTGACTTGAATTTTGGTCTCTTCTGCCTGCACTCTGAACATAGCCTTTTATATTAAACAGTTAGTTAGTAATTTAGCCTACTTAGTTAATAGACAATACGAACATATTAGCAAATCTAGCAGGTCTAAACAATATTCCCTATACAAGAAAATACTGTTTATTACCGTTCTGTCTGCTGTGTGACGCTGTGTGTCTCTGTATCTCTGTGTTCCTCTGTAGTTCCTCTTATCCACAGGTTTTTGCTTAGAACTGAGACTATGTCTCTTCCATTATGCTTTGATGTCCCTGGAGATGTCCGCCTTAAACTACTACACCATCCCAACAGGGGTCAGTAATGTTCCTCTCCTTGTGTCAGTTATATACTGTGTAACATATAACCTATAATTATTTCCTAGTTTGCAGTGGTGGGAAGTAACTTAAATACATTCAATACTTTACTTGATATTACATTAAAACATATGATAGTCATATTAAACAATCCTAGATTGAGTATCACTGGGCCATAGTACAGTACTCATTCCTCTGTACTTTTACTTAAATAGGATTTTTTGAGTGAGTGACTTTTATCTGTAATCAACATTGTTCCTTTCTTCCACCACTGCCAGTTTGAAGTGTGGTGTTGAGTTGTGTTTGTTCTCTTTTGTACTAGAGCTGTCTGTGAATGGTGAGCTTGATTCAGTAGCTTATGGAGGCTTCAAAAGGATTGTCATCCACTTCAAAGCTGACCTACATGTTGAGGTTGACACCCAGAGAATCACTGTACAAGAGGGACAGATGACACAGCACACTGGACAGGATCTCATCACAGTTGGAAGGTGACTTTGCATTGTAATGGCAGGAATTACGCTATGATGATACTCAGTGGTGTACAGACTCTCTGATATAGGGATGAAAATGCACATAGTCACTGTTTCTGCGTGCAGAGTTAAGTATTCATGTGTGGCCTAACGTAAAATCAGAGCTTTAAGGAATAGTTTGACATTTTGGGAATTACACTTATTCACTCACTTGCTGAGAGTTTCATAACACTTTTCATGTCTGTATGTTAACTTGCAGTGTTGGGGTAGTTACTCAAAAAAGGTAATGGATTACATGTTACTAGTTACTTTTTAAAAAAGTAATGCCTTACTTTACTAGATTACTCACTGCTGAAAGTAATTAGTTACACTACTAGTTACATTACTTTTGGATTAATGCATAACATCACTGTGATGCACAATAACAATATATATTTACACCTCATATATGGTCAGATCAACACAAATCCTTATTACAATGAGGACATACACAGGATCTCTCTTTTATGCTCTTTAGAAAGATTACAAAGTGACAACAGTTGTGAAAATCAGCCCAACATTTGTCAAGAGAAGAACAAGGCTAGAATACAGCACTACAGACTGTGATTCTTACTGGTGAATCATTAATAGCTGCAAGCATGTAGGCGTTGGGCTCACAGTGAAAGAATCAGGCATGTATGCCTTATTGTAATAATAATAATTAGGCTATTTATTATTATTATTATTATTATTATCATTATCATATGTAGCCATTTTGCTACAATTATGCTTGACACAACGGCAGTGTTTGCGACCTGACCTTTCTTTTCTCAGTGAGAGGGAAGAATTTAGAAAGTGCGTAGCGCTGCAGAGACCCCCCAGCTGTAGGAGTGCATGGATTATGCTTAATATTCATCCAGCCAGAGGGAACGATCACGGACCGTTCATAGTGCTTAGCGACACAACCCAAACTGGAGAGGGAGAGTGGCGGTGGAGCGTACAGGACCAGGAGATAGAGGAGCGACCGGCCCGCTGCGGACGGTTAGTCATCGTTACCTCTGGGTGGATGAAGTCTGACGCTCCGCGTGATCCATGATGATAGAGAAATACAGAGATTAATGTCAATAAAGCATGCTGCCAAAATATCACAAATCATGCTTTTAGGGGAGCTTATGTCTTATTAAGGGGTGCAAATGATACTTGAAATACAAATGAAAAAAGTGGTGGGGACATGTCCCCAGTGTAAATGACACCTATGCTTAAAGTGCTCTTTTGGTGCCTCCTGGTAGGTGTCTGCTGCTTTAGGATACCCTTCATAATTCACCAAATGTAGTGGAACCTCTATACATGTTGTGGTGGCAGCCCGGCTGACGGTGAGTGTCCTGGTTTTTTCTACTTTTTATCAGTTTTTCTGCTTTTTTCCTTGGTTTCCTGTTCTCTGCCCGCCTCTCTGTGTTTTCTCCCCCGTGTGCTCTCTCTCCCTCTGCCCCTGAGCCCAGCCAACTACCTGCACCTGCAACTCATCATCCACCTCATCAGCCTGCCACACCTGCCAGTAATCACCTCATGACTGCCTGTATTTCAACCCCGGTTTTCCACACCATCCTCGCTTGATCGTCGTTGCTCCATACCTGGTGCCACTTCTGTGTTCAGGCTTCCACGTTTCTTGTTTTTTCAAACTTACCCTGTGCCTTGTCATTGTCTCCCCTAACCTTGTCTCTCTGTCTGTTTCCCTCCCAGGTACACTCACCCTCGTCCTCCGTTCGGCTGGGCTCATCCACTGGCCCATTCCTCTTCAGACTTCCCTCTCGGCGTCCTCCCTGTTCCCCTGCCTCTCCTCGCTTCCTTGGCCCCTGTGTTCCCCGGCTCCCTGGCCCCTATCTCCTTGGTTCCCCGTGCCAGTACTTCCCCGACGTCCTCCTCTCCCTCCCCTCCAGTCCCTCTCACCCTTTTTTCCCCCCAATAAACCTCCTTCCCTCTGAGTGCTGCATTTGGGTCCTCTGTCCACACACCACACCCCGTAACAATACATAGAGGTGAGCCAAAGTTTCTAGCTGGTACTGCTCCACCTTCCGCACTGATATTTTTGTGTCTTTTTAATGCAATCAAAGAATTTTGAGAGCATATTTATCGCCTTTTTTGTGTCACAAAAAGTTTTAAAGGTTCAGTTTGTAATATTTCTGAGAATCTATCGACAGAAATGCAATGTAAGTTCCATAACTATGTTTTCAGTGGTGCATAAAGACCTTGCATAATAAACCATTATGTTTTTATTACCTTAGAATGAGCCATTTATATCAGGTTGTATTTCAGTGTGTATGATGTAGAACAGAACATTCGTATTCATTTTTCTGTCATTAGAAGAACAGATATAAAGGACTATCCAGCCTTAGTGGGGGTGTATGCTGCCTGATTGCTCAACATGGGTGGTTGGTACCATATTTACAAATAAGCAGGATGGATCAAAACTAGTACAGAAAAAGAATTTTACCTGCAGGAAATCCAGAGAAATCTATGGGCGATGTAGGAATGAGATAATCCTGCCATTTTTTGAAAAATGAACAGTCAAATTGTATACATCTGTTAACATCTTGCATGTACATTTTCTACAATACACGTTAGAAGTAGTAATATACTGCAGGGGTTGTCAAATAAGTGTTGCATCGGCGCAATATTTTCCACCATTAAGGCCTTTTCACACGTGAAGCGATTTACGCACCTCGTAGCTTAATTCATTTTCAATGAGAGGTGAGCATGTAGGAAGGGAGGCACGGGCATTGCCACAGGCGTAGCGACAAGTGGGCGTGTTCCCATGAAACTGTCGTGCTCGTCTCATGCACACGCCCGCCCCTGCCAAAGTTGAATTGACTTGAACTTTTTGTAGCCTACGTGACGCGCAGCACAAAAATAGATGGATGAGAGACTGATCTTTGCCATCTGTGACTTCCCTGAAATAGGCTATATACACTCACCTAAAGGATTATTAGGAACACCATACTAATACTGTGTTTGACCCCCTTTCGCCTTCAGAACTGCCTTAATTCTACGTTGCATTGATTCAACATTTAGAAATGTTGGCCCATATTGATAGGATAGCATCTTGCAGTTGATGGAGATTTGTGGGATGCACATCCAGGGCACGAAGCTCCCGTTCCACCACATCCCAAAGATGCTCTATTGGGTTGAGATCTGGTGACTGTGGGGGCCATTTTAGTACAGTGAACTCATTGTCATGTTCAAGAAACCAATTTGAAATGATTCAAGCTTTGTGACATGGTGCATTATCCTGCTAGAAGTAGCCATCAGAGGATGGGTACATGGTGGCCAGAAAGGGATGGACATGGTCAGAAACAATGCTCAGGTAGGCCGTGGCATTTAAACGATGCCCAATTGGCACTGTGATGGCCACAGCCGTGGCCTCACAACCAGATGAAGAGCGGTAACCTCATGCACTGAGTTTGTTGTGTTCTTTAAGATTGGTTTATATACATTCATACACATTAGACATTTTATTGTAAATATTTATTTGGTTACAAATAAACTTACAGGACACTTAGTTTATTTCACATACTTTATTTTAGTTGACTATACAGAAGCATCTTTTGGAACACACACCATTAGTTACTTTTGGATTTTCATTTTGTTATAATTCTTGTTTCTGAGCTTACCAGTGTTGGATGCCACACCCAGGAGAGACCCAGGAGAGATCCAGGAAGTCTGCTGGCTTAAAGGGTTGGTGCTCGGAGCAGGAGCAGCTTTATAGGAGAGGTGGCCTGATTGGACACTACCACTGCTTGCTATGTCTGGGGGGTGGCTTTATTCTTAAATATTTTGGGGTTTAGATTTATATTATATTTGAGTATTTTTGAGTTAAGGTTAAGTAAATGTACATTTCTTTTGGAATAAGTTTTTACATAAGTTTTGTTGTGTTTGCAGTTATGATGTGGTGTTGTTGTTGTTGGTCTTCCCCTGTGTGTCAAAACTGGTCTGATCAGCCAATATATAAGTCCCCTTTGTTTGTTGTATAGTAGGTCAGTTGTATTTTTGAGTCTCTTATGTTCAGAGCTTTAGTTATTGTTTGTTTATTTGACCTCTTTTATGGGCCCAAAACTTTATTGTTTGTTGTAATGATTTTTTTGGTAAATAAAACCCTTTTGCTTTAAGTTTCCCTCTTGACTCCTCATGCCTAACTGCCTGGTCCCTCACAGGCACTAAGGGGCCCAAAGCGTGCCAAGAAAACATCCCCCACACCATTACACCACCACCACCAGCCTGCACAGTGGTAACGAGGCATGATGGATCCATGTTCTCATTCTGTTTACGCCAAAATCTGACTCTACCATCTGAATGTCTCAACAGAAATCGAGACTCATCAGACCAGGCAACATTTTTCCAGTCTTCAACTGTCCAATTTTGGTGAGCTCTTGCAAATTGTAGCCTCTTTTTCCTATTTGTAGTGGAGATGAGTGGTACCCGGTGGGGTCTTCTGCTGTCGTAGCCCATCCGCCTCAAGGTTGTGCGTGTTGTGGCTTCACAAATGCTTTGCTGCATACCTCGGTTGTAACGAGTGGTTATTTCAGTCAAAGTTGCTCTTCTATCAGCTTGAATCAGTCGGCCCATTCTCCTCTGACCTCTAGCATCAACAAGGCATTTTCGCCCACAGGACTGCCGCATACTGGATGTTTTACCCTTTTCACACCATTCTTTGTAAACCCTAGAAATGGTTGTGCGTGAAAATCCCAGTAACTGAGCAGATTGTGAAATACTCAGACCGGCCCGTCTGGCACCAACAAGCATGCCACGCTCAAAATTGCTTAAATCACCTTTCTTTCCCATTCTGACATTCAGTTTGGAGTTCAGGAGATTGTCTTGACCAGGACCACACCCCTAAATGCATTGAAGCAACTGCCATGTGATTGGTTGATTAGATAATTGCATTAATGAGAAACTGAACAGGTGTTCCTAATAATCCTTTAGGTGAGTGTAAGTGTTCACTGAACAGTTACCCGGACACTATCTATTGACTACCTTCCGTTTACTCGCGGAGCGCTTGTCTCGCTGTCTGTTCACATGAGAAGCGCATAGCGACCCCGTGGGGCCAGGCAACTACGCAGGCGGAGTGTCGCTTCCCCTGTGTGAAAAGGCCATTTGATGGTGGATGAGAATATAAGGCATATTATTGAAATGCATCAACATGTTGTTCGGTTATCTCAGTCAGTAAGGTGCAATACTGGTAACCCAAGGGTTGAGTGTTTGATCCCACCATGGGACATTTTTTTTTCTCCCTTCAACAAATGGATTCTGCAGCAAATTTTTCTCAGATCATGGCATGTGCTGCACTGTTCATCCATCGACCTATGGACGCTTTTTGATATACCCCAGTATCTCCAGGCAGAGGACATTGAGGAGAATCACGTTTTCTAACAGCTCTTTCAGAGGTGTGTCAAGCAGGCTAAAGACTCTTAATGTCGTTCAGAATTTTCCAAAGTAAAAGCTCAGTTCAACTCCAAATACAGAAATGCAGTAAACAAGCTTCTTGCGATTTTATTTTGTCGTCAAAAACACTAAAGAGGAAGTGATTATGTGAGTAACTGTTTGCTGTCATGACTGAGATCTATTTCAGCATTGCTATCAAAGTATTTATTTATTTATATTTTTTGCTGCTATCAAAGCACCATAATCTGGCAGCGGGCCAGATATTATTGTTGGCGGCAGTTTTGGCGAGGATACATAATCACAGCGAGAATGAATGTGTTTCCCTTGTCAGTGTTTGTATAAACTTTATCTACTATGTGGTTTATAATGGACTGTGGTGCAGAAACTGTGACAATGTTTTAAAGAAGCAAATTGCAAATTGAAAAACAGTTTAACCTGCAAAACGTTCTGACTGGCAAGGAAAACGTTATAACTTGCAATCAAAGAGGACATATTAACAATAAAACTTTTTGTGACACAAAAAAAGGCCTGTTTTTAATTACAAACTTGATTTTTGATTGCTGTGTGATAAATATGCTCTGGCAACACAGCTCCCAGTATCACAGAGAAACACAAATATTTCTACCATTTTGAGGTGGCGATTTATTGGGGAGCCTATAATCTCTTGTCTGAACAAAAAGAGCTTTTCAGCACAGAGGAAAAAGGGGAAGGGCAGCTCCAAACGCTCCACGCCACCGATGATATTCGTGATGTTAAATTTATTATTACTTAACTATTATAATGTAAATTGCTATTTACAACTGACACTTACATTAATGGCCCTGCACACCTACGGGATGATGAGAACTGTTCTCAGGAGTTTGTAGATGATGTCGATGAACATCTTCCTCACTCCCATTAGCTTTGTTTCACCTACCAGGGGGGGACAGATTACACCTTCATCCTTCTTACTGGTGCAATGACTCTGGTGACCTCACGTATAGCTGTATAGCTCTTCAGCCTGAGTGCAGGGTGTAGTCAGCCAAGATAAGTGAAATGACCTGGCATTGGTGACTTGGTGTGCATGGCTCTTAAAAAGAGTCCAAGAGAAAGCTAATATGAGGTCCTTTTTCCCCCTAGTTTGACAGTGTTTATGCGGAACCAGGAAATAGATGTTGCAGCTGGAGACACACGCATGGTCATCTTAATTCATAAGCGAGGTGACAAAGAATTCATCTGGCCGGTTTTAAGACAGAAGCCATCAGACAACAACATTTCAGGAATTTTAGGTGGGTAAAAAGGCTGGATTTGCTTGTGTGGTTTAATATCAGGTCAACGATATATTCACTCAGTCTTTGTGTCCAAATATGGTGCTTAACAGAGAAATAATTCATTAAAAGACACAAATATGTTGTACTGTGTCTCATGGAGTGTCTTTTTTTCAGTGCCACTGCTTTATTGTTTATTCTCTGCAGACAGCAGTTTGAGATGCAGCACACTCCCTCAACAAAACTTAAGATCAAAGACCAGGAGACTGATGTTACCAGGTACATTTTCTTCTGTATTATTAGTTGGCATAAAAAAGAGAGCTGTTTGGGAGTAATAAAAGTATTATTACTTTGATACATGCAGATATATTACCATATATGTCTTTCTTTTGTAGATCTAATGCTGTCGACTACAGTATTGTCTTTCCCGTGACACTGGACTGCTGGCTCATGTCTGCCTGGATTATTTCATTGTTGTACAACTTTAACTGGGAAACATGTTGAATCACTTGCAAATATGACAAGCTTAGATCTCTTTAATGCTTGCAATGAAAGTTTGGTGTATGGTTGCTTTTGCCTGCTGTATCATATGTTTTTCTGGTCATTTCCTGGCCTCGTCAGATTAGTACTTTTTCACAAAAGCTGTACCTACGTGAAGACAGAAATAATAAATTCATCAACATATTAGTCATGTACTTGTGTCAATATGAAGCCAATTTGTCTCTGTGTACCTCTTTGTCATTTGTGTTTGCATAAAAACACAAAAGCATGGTTCTGGTGTTGCCTCCCTAACTTCATGGCCAGGGTGGCAGTAGGTCCTTCGATCTGACTGTGATAAAGACTTTCCTCCTTTTAAAGTGTGAATATTTAATTCAAGTTGGTAAATTCCTGCCACCCAGAACAAATTCATATCAATTCACAATATTTTCTGCGACCCAAATAAATGAATTCAGTGTTTACATGTCACACAACTCTCACTTTATATCTTACACTCACTTTTAATTTCCTTAAAACACAAGCTTTCCAAAAGCTGTATAAAAGTGTGGCCATATACCTCATATACACAATATAACCTCAGGCAGACACAATTTACCTCAGAGTTCAACTATTAAAATTATATTTAACCATTTTAAGGCACTGTGTCTCTTATCATGCTTTACAACAAACTACATCACAATAAGTCAAAGTTATTTGGCAATAAACCATTAAACACATGTCCTTATGGCAAAATACAATAAGCAGGAGAAAACTTCTTGTATGCAAAACAACTTCATGAAATAAGTGCTTAAAGACTTTAGTGCTTTAGTGAGTTTACATGGGTTTCTGTTGGGTTTCTGACTCCACCTGACACAGGTCCACCAGTTACATACAGCATTCTCGGTCAGTTTACACAGAATTCTGTAGCAAAACTTTCTGTGAACTGACCAGTGTAAAATGATAAAATAAACTACATGTCTGACTCTTAAACCCTACCATGTACACTCAAATTATAGCATATTTACTGACCTGTGATAAAGAATATAAGAGATAGAGGTGCTCCGATCAGGATTTTTTGGGCCGATCACTGATTGCTGAAAGCAGTATCGGCCGATACCGATTACCGATCACTGGGTCTATTTGGAGCCTTTTATTTATCATGTTGCATTATACAGTGTACTGTATATTTCTTTAATTGGTCCTAAAAACAATGTATTAAGTGTTAAAGTTAACAGATGATAAAGTATCATGAAATGACAACTGTTTATTTTATTGCCAGGAAACATGGGCAACAAATTCCGCTCAATCTGTGTTAGAGACTTAAACCGTAGCAGCCTTTGCCTGGTTACTGTGAACATCTTATAGCTTAACAAATATAGCTTTACTGTGGAATAGACTACAAAAATAGAACAAACAGCATCTTTCATTTACTACAACCATAAACACTGCAACAAAAAAGGCTGTAGCAAAAATATTTAGGTGATAAAGGAGCACAGGCATCATCAGAATCAGAAGGAGCTTAATTGCCAAATACTGTTTTACACATACGAGGAATTTGCTGTGGTGATAAGGTGCTACACATAGTCAACATAAATAAATGTGGAAATTGAAGAACAACGTTGCAGATATATACATAGTCTGTGCCGTGCAGAAGTAACGTAACAGAAGAGAATATTGTGTATATAAATATATAAACTGACAACATAAAAATATACAACAACAAATATGTGCGACGTGCCAGGTCTGAGCCCGACACGAGATGAAACGGTATTTACATGTGAAGAGACATTTGTATCGTTTGCAAGGGGGGAGTTTCAGTGGGGGACCCGGGCCTTGTTGATGAGGCTAGTTGCAGACGGGAAGAAACTGTTTTTGTGACGAGAGGTTTTGGTCCTGATGGACCGCAGCCTCCTGCCAGAGGGGAGAGTTTGAAGCAGTTTGTGTCTGGGGTGGGAGGAGTCAGCTGCAATCTTTCCTTCTCGCTTCAGAGTCCTCGAGGCGTACAGGTCCAGAAGAGAAGGAAGATTGCAGCCAATCACCTTCTCTGCAGAGCGAATGATGCGCTGCAGCCTGCCCTTGTCCCTGGCAGTGGCAGCAGCGTACCAGATGGTGATGGAGGAGGTGAGGATGGACTCAATGATGGCGGTGTAGAAGTGCACCATCATTGTCTTTGGCAGGCTGAACTTCTCCAGCTGCCGCAGGAAGTACATCCTCTGCTGGGCCTTCTTGGTGAGGGAGGTGATGTTCAGCTCCCACTTGAGGTCCTGGGAGATGATGGTGCCCAGGAAGCGGAAGGAGTCTACATTGGTGACTGGGGAGTCACACAGGATGATGGGGGAGGGTGGGGCTGTGCTTTCTGAAGTCCACGACCATCTCCACTGTCTTCAGAGCGTTGAGCTCCAGACTGTTCTGGCTGCACCAGGTCACCAGATGGTCGATCTCCCACCTGTAGGCGGACTCGTCCCCACCAGAGATGAGCCCAGTGAGGGTGGTGTCGTCCGCAAACTTCAGGAGCTTGACAGACTGGTGACTGGAGGTGCAGCTGTTGGTGTACAGGGAGAAGAGAAGGGGGGAAAGAACGCAGCCTTGAGGGGAACTGGTGCTGATGGTCCTGGAGTCAGAGACATGTTTTCCCAGCTTCACGTGCTGCTTCCTGTCCGTCAGGAAGTCTGTGATCCACCTGCAGGTGGAGTTCAGCTGGAAAAGCTTGTCCTGCAGCAGGGCCGGGATGATGGTGTTAAAAGCAGAGCTGAAATCCACAAACAGGACCCTGGTAGGTTCCTGGGGAGTCCAGGTGCTGGAGGTGCAGTGTAGTGAAGGGCCATGTTTACTGCATCATCTACAGACCTGTTGGCTCTGTAGGTGAACTGCAGGTGGTCCAGGAGTGGGTCTGTGATGGATTTTAGGTGGGACAACACAAGGCATTCAAAGGACTTCATAACCACAGAGGTCAGGGCGACGGTGACGAGTCGTTTAGTCCTGTGGTCCTTGGTTTCTTGGGGACAGGGATGATGGTGGAGGCTTTGAAGCAGGCTGGCACATGGCATGTTTCCAGTGAGGTGTTAAAAATGTCTGTGAACACCGGAGACAGAGTCCGGTCCAGCTGCTTTGTGGGGTTTCTGCCTCCTGAAAAGACCGTTGACTTCCCTCTCTGTAATGGAGAGAAGAGGGGAGGGGGTGGAGCTGGCCAGCTCTGAGGAGGGAGGGGACGATGTGGTGGACTGAGGCTGAAGCTGAGCGGAGGAGTCACGGGGGATGGTGTCCGATTGACTCTCAAAGCGGCAGTAGAACTGGTTCAGCTCATTTGCCAGGCGAGAATCGTTTATGGAGTGGAGGACTTTGGGTTTATAGTTTGTGATCTGTCTGAACCCCCTCCAGACAGAAGTGGCGTCGTTTGCAGTGAACTGGTTCTTTAGTCTCTCTGCGTACAGTCGTTTAGCTTCTCGCACCTCCTTGCTAAACCTGTACTGTAACCTGTAACGCCCTGCACCCGGCGCTGTCACCACTCCTAAATGCCTCCTCGTTTTTCAACCTTAGCTGTCTGAGTTTAGCTGTCAACCAGGGTTTGTCATTGTTATAACTCACCGTGTTGGAATGCAGCTGTTCTCACAGAAGAGATTTCCCCTGTTAAAGTCAGCGAGAACAATAACAAGGGAGTCCGGGTTTGTCTGCTCCACACAGAGCATCCGGTCGGCCAGCATGCTCTGTGTGTCCTGAATGTTGGCGTGCGGCGAGATATAAACACTGACCAGAGTGAATGAAGCAAACTCATGTGGGGAGTAAAACGGTTTACAGTTTATGATAAGAAATTCCAGATCAGGAGAACAGTGCTGCTGAATCACAGTCACGTCAGTACAATTTCATATTGTTTGCCATTAGGCTATAGGCCTTATATCATTTCAGTGGATTGTTTTCATTTTATATCCTTGTGTAAGAAGCACAGTCTACATATTTTACATGCTGCCACTGACTTTACCAGAGGGAGAGTAGCAAACACTTTAAATATGGCCAGAAGGTTTTTATTTGATTTCATAAAAGGTTAAAAATACGGGAGATTTACGTGGAAACATTTAACGGGTGGATACCGGGTGAGAAGGGAAAAATACGGGAGAATCTCGGGGAAAACGGGAGGGTTGACATAAGAGGAGTAGTGAGAGGAGTGGGGTAATGTGAGGCTACATCCACACTGCTACGTTTTTAAAACAGTTTTATAACAAAAACTATCTTCTCAACAAGCAACAGCAGCGTTTTAGCTGCGTATCAGAGTTGATCTCTGTCTACTGAAAACACACATCTAGTGGCCGTTCAGGTAGCCTACACTGGGCATCTCTCAGCATGCGTGTGCCAGTGTAAACATGAAGCAGATGGTCTACTCCGCAGTAGCAGATGATTTAGCGAAAGAAGAAAGTAATACAGACCAAGAACCACACCAGGATTTTTTCTTTTTTTTTGCATTGACCGACAACGAAGTGGAACTGTTACTGAAAGTAACACGGGAGTACGAGAGACGGCGGCAGAAAACAGACTGGGACACAGTACTTATATTTTAATAAAAATACCAAAACTAAAACTCTGAAAAGTGTCGTGTTTTTGCTTTGCATGACTGATAAGACCGACTCACAAAGCTAAATGTGAGTGTGTGTCATCGTATTATAAAGTCCTATGTTTTGTCCATCGGGTCAGCAGCGTTTTCAAACAAACATCTTCTGATTCACCGTTTTAATCTGGACGGGAGGTTTTTGTAACGAAAACAGAGAGAGAGGCAGTCACCTGATTGAGTGGCACCACTCTTTGCATCAGGAAACTCACACTGAAGGATCAGTCTCTCTGCCTGATGCGCTGTGTCTAATTGTAAATGATTATGTGGGCACGTTAAGCCCTTCTTGTTTGAGAAGGACTTTGGTGCTAGCTAGTTTTGAAAACCGCTCAGACAGTGTACTGAAATATTTTAGCTGCCGTTGAAAATTTGTCTGGCGAGTATTGCATCATCTGATCGGCTTTTCCTATCGGCCTTTTTAGCGACCACCGATCAAACTAGTTAAAGCCATTATCGGCCGATTATGATCGGTGACCGATCGATCGGAGCTCCCTTAATAAGAGACGCGTGGAGCTGGCAGAGGATTAATTCTGCCTCTGCAGCCTGGATTCTATCCTATACCACCCAAGTGTAATACGCCCTCTAGTGGCATAGGTGTGTGGTGACTCAAAATGTAGTAGAAGTATGTGAGTGATGAAATCAATTAAAAAAAGATTTCTAAAGGTTATCAACCCACTACACTAAGTGAGACTCTGTATGTCAACAGTAAAGCTCACATAAGCAGTTGAATTTCTGATAAGTTTCTGCTTTCTTAACCTGTCATGTCAACAATTAGCTATGTGTGTTTTTCCTGGCAGCATCAAAGGGGAAAAGAGGTGTGTTTTTGTGTGTGGGTGGGTTTTTGTCATGTCAGTGAGAGTTTAAAGAGGAGAGAGAGAAAGAAGAGTTTGCCAATACTTTCCTTGTTGGATTGAGTGTAAAAGACAGTTTCAGCTGCCTGGGTTGCAGTCTGGTGAGAGAAATCATGGAGAGGGCTTTGGTGCAAATCGCCCTCTTTGGGCTGCTGCTGACTTTGGTTACCACACTACCAAACAAGGTAAGGTCACAAAACCTTAGGAGCAGAGCACCTCACTGTGAGGACACTCAATCAACTTAATATATTGATATCTTGGCACTGATTAATTAACAGATATTTGAAAGATTTTTTGCTTGTTGTTGTTTGTCAGTTGCAACAGAGTGAACATCAAAAACGTTCTACCTTCAGTCTTGCTTCATATTGTTCATAAGAATGCACTGTATGTGTGTGAACTCTGATTATTCTTGTTTGGGAACAAAGTCACATTAAAATGATCCATTTAACTTAAAGGCTAAATTCATAAAAAGTCAACAATGCAAGGTCCTCTTAAGTTTCAAAATCATTGTTATGTGTATTACTGATGGTGTGGGGGCCATAAATTTGTTTTCCTTTTGGGGACAAAAAGCTGGTCCCTGTGTCAATCAATAAATTAAAGGTTTAAGACTTGGTAAATATTGGAGTGAACAAATCATTTCCATGTAAAATCACTGGATATAAAAAAAACGTGAATGGGGTGTTTCTGAAGTTAGACCAATGAGATTTCACTGATGCACTGATTTTCACCACCATCTGATCTTTGGTCAGCCAGTCGTCAGCCAGTGGGATCAAAAAAGTCATTTCTTTGTCATTGTGAAATGTGTCTCCTGTATTTGCTCAGGACGACTGGGACATCTACAGCTTTCATGTCAACTCCACAGTGACCAGTCGTTATGCCACCACTGTCATCACAAGCCGTGTGGCCAATCGTATGGACGAGTCAAAGGAAATAGAATTCCACGTCCGGATTCCCAAGAACGCCTTCATCAGTAAATTCAAAATGTGTGTTAAGCAAAAATAATCTGTTATATATATATATATATATATATTTACAGGAATTTGCACAGAAAGAATTCCACAATAAAGAATCAGGAAACTAAATCACAGGTCACTCCGGAGTATGTCAAAGACTTTTCTTTGGTCTTTTTCAGGCTTATAGATGGCCAGGAGTACGATGGGGTTGTGAAAGCTAAGGAGCAAGCTCAGCAGCAGTACACTGAGGCTGTGTCCCGTGGTCAAAGCGCTGGACTTGTCAGGTACATGGATCATATTTTTACAGGTGTTTATTACAGGTGTTTTTTAGGTGTTGTATTTAAGTCTTGTGGGTCCTTTAGCATATGTCTTGCACAATACTGGCTACTTCACCTGGCACATATTCAGGTCTCTAAATGGAGTTATGTAAACTGAGGTTCAGGAACAGGACCACGCCTCTCTCACTTATTCTACCACTTGTGCTTCATCCAATTCCTCCAATCAACCACCCGTGCTTCACTCATTCCATCCACCTGTTCTTCTCAAATCCAGTCACATGCACTCACGTATATAAGCTGTCTAAAGTGCTATTTATACTTCTGCGTCAAATCGACGGCGTAGGTGACAGCGTAGGCTACGGAACTACGCAGAGGATACACTGTCGCCTGACGTGCACCTCCTCCGAAATGTAACTACACGTCGAGTCGACACGGACCGTAAGCTCTGTGATTGGTTGACTGAGCAGCCTCGCAATGCCTCCGACCGGAAGTACCCCGCACTTTAAAGTAACATTTACTAGCGACCAAAACGACGGCTGTAACACAGTGAATCAATATATTTGACCGTCGCAACCCGAGCAAAATGACTCGTTTCGCTATCAGAATGTGATCTATTCGGTCGGTAACATTTGAAACGCTACACCAGCCGCACGTTTACAATTTTAATTGTCCCATTTACGTTAGCGGAGCGCTAAACCGTAAGTTAGCCTGCTCGGCCGGCAAAGGTCAACACAATGGATGCTGTAGCGCTACCGCCGACTAGCGTTTGGGGGTATAATTGCAGAATGACGGACACACCTACGCACAAGTATAAATGCAAGACCCTGCGCAGGAGTATAAATGGGCCTTAACCCATTTTCTCTCCCGTTTCTCAGTTCTCAGGACCGTCAGCTCCGATTCAGACGCACACTGAAGTTTCTCGAAAGTACTTTTGCTTACCTTAACACAGATCATGAGCTGATTCTCAGCCCCTCCAATCGCGATCCGTACGACGATCCGCCCGCAGTCTCTAATCTTCTCAGTCCATAGTTACATTAACTCCCATGTGGCTAGCTACACGTCCACCGCGACAGCGCTCCGTTATTCAAGTTCTCAACTCCGCATTGTCCAGTATTCTTCATCCAGCAGCTCCCGTCCGACTCCTCCGAACACACACACTGGCCACAGCAGCCACAGTTGACTTTGGGAGAAGTTCGCTCTTCCAGACACCGACTTCCGACCGGCCGCACAGCCGACTCGCTGCCGCACATCGGTCAACCCGATTACGGCCCCGTACAACGCTAGAACCATTTTCGACCAGACAGTCGTCTGCCTCTAGCACACACTCTTTTTTTGGTGGAAAGACTTCCTATCCACCAAAAGGTTTTCCAGTTTTTTTTTTGTTTGTTTTTTTCGCCACCACTTTATTTGCATTTTCAATAAACAAACAAGCATCATTGTAACATTGCATAGACCTACCATATAACTACAACTAAGCAGCATACAACCAGAAGTAAATAAGCAAAAATAAATAAATGCGCAAAATAAATAGCTACAAATACATAAATCAATAAACATAAAATAAAATAACATAAATTAAGGGGATTTACTGAAAGTCAAAGTAACTCAGAGAATCTTAAGTCACTATTCTTTTCCAGCATTTTCAATGACAGAAAAAGAATTTCAAATCATTAATGAATGCATTAAAACTTGGTGTAGCTTTTAAAAATCTACACTTATGAATTTAAATTTTGCTATGATGAAGATATTATTACACAAGAACTCAATGTCTTTGTTTTCCATAAAACAACCAAACTTCACCTTATGGTAATCAAACACAGGTATTACATTCTTTGTACCTAACCAATCAAATATTCTGTCCCACAACAATTTAACGACATTACAGCTGAAGAAAAGATGCTCCTGAGATTCAATATCAGTCTGACAAAATGTACAAACATTACAATCTAAATTAAATGTTACTCTTAAGAATTCATTACATGGATAAATATCATTAATTGTTTTGAAATAAACCTCTTTCCTTTTAGGAAACAATGGAAATGATAAAAATCTAGTTCAAACCTTGACAGTGTCAACTCTTGAAAGTCTTTCAGACAAAACCTTTCTTTTCACAGGTAGAGGAAAACAGTCTATTGTCATCAATGACCTCAAAAATTTGTTAGCACATTTACTATCTCAGAAATTACACTTATCCACAAAGAGATTAGCCGATGTAGGAATCACAGCAGAGTATTGCAACATTCCTTTTATCTGGTTTATCAAACCCTTAGGAATGGCATTGACTACTAAGAAATATTTTCTAATTGAGCAATCCAAATTAAATTTAGTTTTAAACTCATCATGACTTAACATATTCCCATATTCATCCATTAGATGTATTATAGCCCACACTCCTTTTTCCATCCAATCTATATAAAATAGTGTTTTCCTCTTGTGTAAGGTGTCCCTGTTGTTCCACATTGTAGCCTTATGAGGGGAAAAATTATGCTTCTACATAATTTTCCAATACAGTAATACCTGCATATGATAATCTGATCATTTAAATGGCAACTTTGATGGGTCAAAATCACATTTTAACAGAAAATTAATTCCTCCTACCCTTTGAAAATGATAAGCTGGAAAACTAAACCATAAAAAGTGTTCCTGTTTTATAAACATTTGCAATCAAATGCTGCTTATTATTCCAAATAAAATTATAATGCATTTGGTTTATTTTCTTAATACATCTGTCTGGAACTGCTAAAGAGTATGCAGGGTAAACTAGTCTCGAAATCGCTTCCATCTTCGTTAACAAAATTCTTCCAAAAATCGAAACATTTCTTTCTAACCAGCTATTTAAGATTCTTTGATTTTTTTGCAAAACATCTTGAATGTGACTGTTTCCCCTGTCACTATGGCCTTTACTGATAGTTGCTCCCAAGTACTTAACCTCCTATTTTACTGGGATGTTATGAATAAAAGGTTGTGCACAGTCGTGAATAGTCAAAATCTCACACTTATTTAAATTTAAGTACAACCCTGAAGCTTCAGAAAAAATAGATACAGCTTTTAAGGCATTAGGTATTTGATCAGAATCTTTCAAAAAGTGTACTGTGTCATCTGCCAATTGTGTTATTATCAAGGGATTACCCATAACATCCAATGGTTTTATTGTTTTATCATTTTTTAATATACACTGCTAACAGTTCAGCTGCTAAAATAAAAATAAGAGGACTAACTGGGTCTCCTTGTCGTATTCCCCTTTCAACACTGAATCTCCTTGTAGTTCCTGTAGGAAGAAAGACTGCACTTGTTATACCCTTGTACAACATAGAAATAACCTCAATAATTTTTTTCCCAAACCCAAAATATTGTAGTGTCTGTAAAATAAAGGGGTGTTCCAATCTGTCAAAAGCTTTAAAAAAATCCAAAAATTAAGATAATACTGTCATCCTCCACCAAGTATGGAATAGTCCAACAGATCTAAAAAAAGCCGGGTGTTGTTATGTATTAAGCGATTCTGAAGAAAACCTGACCTGTGTTTCACTGACAATTGTATCCATACCACTTTTAAGCCCAGAAATATTTTATAATCAAAATTAAGTAAAGTAATCGGCCTTAAATTATCTATAATTGTTTTGTCTTTGTTTGTCTTTGGGATTAATGTTATTAAACCTTGTTTCATTGTTGTTAGTAGCATATTACCTTTCAGTGCTTCAAAGAGTAATTCATCAATCCAAAAAAACTTATAAAAGTTAGTTGTTAACCCATCCTGATCTGATGATTTTCCCCAGAGCCATTTTCTTTATAGCAGTATCAAGGTCCCCAATACTTAAGTCAGCGTCACATGTCCTTTTAAACTGGGTCAATTTGAGGTATGTATGGTTGTAATGTTTTAAACATTTTTTCTGGAAATATATAAATTGTGATAAAACCCATATACAGTATTTCATTAGCTATTTCTTTGGTTAGTATCGTTAACATTCAACATTGTGATTGTATTTCTCTTCTGTCTTGTTTTTTCCAGTCTACTAAAATAAGAGCAATTTTTTTCACCATCTTCTAGCCATATTGCTCTGGATCTTATATATGCTCCTTTTGCTTTATTCAGATATAACTCATCTAATTTAGCTTGTAACCTAATTAGTTCTTCCTTATTTATATCACATAACCCATTGTTTTTACAACACTCATGTCATTTATCAGTTGTATTTCTAATTCTTTTTGCTTCTTTCTCATTCTTTTACAATAGTCAATTGAATATTCTCTTACTTTAAATTTGAAAAATTTCCCACTTCTTTGCATAAGAATCGATTTCCTCATTTGCCTTCACTGAAGATAATATTTTCCTTATCATATTACAATAATATTCATCATTTAGAAGATTTGTATTAAACTTATTAAACCAATATTTCTGTCTAAATTTTACATCTTTATCAGGCATCATTGTAACAGTAACAATACAATGATCAGTAGTAGGAGCTGCAGAGATGGTAGCCTGTGAAATATATTTTAAAATGTCCTGAGTAACCAACCAAAAGTCTATTCTTGACTTACAACTTCCATTAGGTCTTACCCATGAGTACTCTCTTAAATTTGGATTAATATGTCTCCAAGCATCAATTACGGAATTGTTGATTGATTGGTTGTTGTATTTGTGGTTTGTATATCTTGTAGGGAGTCTATCCAACCATTCATCGGGTACACAATTAAAATCACCCCCCACTAACATATTATCAGTTGAGTACTTAACTTTAAATTTTCCAATAGTATCTGAGATTTGTTCCAGTAAAGTTTTGTTCCTAGAACCTCCATTATATACATAAACATTCAAAACAATGAATGGAGTTCCTTCCATATTCAAAATGGCAGCAATCCAGTGTCGCTCTGTATCTCCTTCAAACTCAATGACTTCTCCTGGGAAATTGTTCAAGAAATAGCCACACCAGCTAATCTGTTAGTTTCATGGCTAAACAAAATTATGTCTCCCCATTGGTTAACCCAAAATGTAGAGTCCTCTTCAGTGGAATGAGTCTCTTCTAAGAAGACACACTGTGCTTGTTCTTTGCAAAATAAAAATATGGCTTTTCTCTTGGTGTTGTCCTTGAGTCCCCTGGTATTTAACGAAATAAAAGAAACCTTAGAGCCTATCATAACTAGAACAAATAATTAGAACAAGTTAACAGTCACCCCCCTCCCTGAGGGTGCTCAAATCTGTGTAGCCTAAAGAAACGAAAATATTATATTGGTCCCTCGAGACCAAACATTTTGTCTCATTCAGTCACTTCAAGAATTTACAGCATATACTCTCCTTGTCCATTTTTACCTTTTATGGGAATATTTGAACATTTTCTATGAAGCCGAAGGGCCCACGAAAGCAGAAGTAGTGTAAAAGCGCTTTGAGTGGTCGAAAAGACTAGAAAGGCGCTATACGGAGCATTTACATTTACTCAGCTTTCAATGCTCGTTTGGCCAATTACCATTCATTACCAGCACTTCCCTGGCACTTCCCTGGCGTGTATGGGCACTTCCCTGGCGTTGCCCATACACCCAGATTTCCTTCTTTGAGCATTCTCAGAATGGTCTACTTCACTCAGTCTTCAAACATTATTTCTCTCCATACAACCACGTTCCAATAACATAAAGCTTCCAAAATATATTGATATACAATATTGATTAAAAAAAAATAGTCAATATCCACACGACCAAAAGCACTCCCATGCTTACAGGCCACAGCTTGAGAAGTGGGCTTTTCGAAACGAAACCATCAGCTAAGCCGACCTCACCAAGATGGGGGCCCGCCAGATGGTCTCCGTTGACACAAAGGAACGCCATTTTTGGACAGAAAACAGCGAATATCGATTAGTACCAAAAGGTTAATCCACTCCCTTTCAAGCCTCCTTCCCAAGCTCACATTTCTCCGTACATCCCAAACTATCTGCCCTGTCGCATTTTTATACCAAGCACCTATTTCTCTCTCTCCATTGGACACCTAAACTCCCACATCCGCATCATCCCACAAGGCCGATCCGCTCCTTCCCACTTACCGCTACTATCAGCCGCAGCGCAGTCTGTCCACGATCACACAGTACCCAACGACACTGGTTAAACAAGCGATCGTGACTTCCCTCTTCTTGGAAGGCATCCCTTTCTTTACGAAAACCACTCAGCCTGACCCAAAGACATCACACTACACAGAGGCAAAACCCTCACTGCCGCCATCGCTGAGGAGGTGATGCCTGCATCCGAGCAGCCACCAGAACAGTCAACACCCTACCTCCTTCCTCCACCATTTCGAACCGCTGCCATTCTGTGGGGGCACGAGGTCCAGCCATCCTGGCACACACAGACAACCACACACTAGATTACCAGACTGCTCTGCAGCGCCCACTTTCACCACTGAATCAGGCAGAGCCGTCTCACACTCCTGGTCGCCATCTCTGCCTATCCCATAATTCAAGATTTGTCGGACCCATTCTCCGGTCACTAATTCGGTATTGGGCACTAGACCACACTGCCGAATTCTCATCCGTCTTTCTCCCATGCCTACCATAGCTACGTCCGCAACAACCATACAGATGTTCTTCGAATCAGTTTCCATTCAATCCGTCATTCTTTTGGGGGTTCATAAGACCAAGCTGCTTATCGAGATGAGCCCCCACCCTGAATCTCGACCCCTTGGGTTCCTAGCCACTCCGGCCACCAAACGGGGCGGCTGTGGCTCAGGAGGTAGAGCGGGTTGGCCGTTAATCGGAAGGTCGGCGGTTCAATCCCTGGCTCCCCGAAGCCCCTGGCGGCTATTCCGCCAGTGTATGAATGAGTGTGAATGTTAGTTTCCGTTTGAGCACTTAGGCTCAGTGTATGAATGTGTGTGACTGGTGAATGCAGATGTAGTGTAAAAGCGCTTTGAGTGGTCGAAAAGACTAGAAAGGCGCTATACAAGTACGGAGCATTTACATTTACCAAACCTTAAACAACTCTTCATCCCTCTTCTCTCGAGCCCTGTTCATCCCTCTTCTCTCGACAATGACCCCTCTTTTCATAACTATTCATCATAATAAACCACTATGAAATCTAACATTAGCGTGGTCATTGTTAGTGAAATGGAGTTATGTAAACTGAGGTTCAGGAACAGGACCACGCCTCTCTCACTTATTGTACCACCTGAGCTTCATTCAATTCCTCCAATCAACCAACCGTGCTTCACTTATTCCATCCACCTGTGCTTCTCAAATCCAGTCACATGCACTCACGTATATAAGCTGTCTAATCCGTTTTCTCTCCCGTTTCTCAGTTCTCACATCCCTCCCACCCAAACCCTGCTTGTTCACCTCTTTTAATGGGCAACACGGTGGCCCAATGGGTTCTGAGTTTAGACCTCGCTCAGCACAGGCCTTTCTGCACAGAGTTTGCATGTTCTCCCCGCGTTTGAGTGGGTGTCCCCTGGGCGCTCCGGCTTCCTCCCACCATGAAAGACATGCACGCTAAAATCCATAATTCTGCCTAGTTATCATTTTGTCTTCTTCTACAACAGGAACCACAGGAGGGTTCATAAGACCAAGCTGCTTATCGAGACGAGCCCCCACCCTGAATCTCGACCCCTCAGGTCCCTAACAGCTCCGGCCACCAAACCCTAAACTCTCCCCTCTACCCCGTTCAGCCCTCTTCTCTCGACCCCTGTTCAGCCCTCTTCTCTCGACCCCTCCTTTCATAACTATTCATCATAATAAACCACTATAAAATCTAACATTGGCGTGGTCCTTGTTAGTGAATATCCTTTAAACAATCTGAGAAGGAAATCATCACTCTTTAGTTGAGCTACTCACAACTCATATCTACATTAAGGCCATGACATGTGATGAACCTCTGTTGTAATACCATGATTATTGTCTCTGCTGCAGTTCTGTAGGGAGGACCCTTGAGGAATTTAAGACCTCCGTGACTGTGGCTGCTCACAAAAAGGTCACCTTTGAACTCACATATGAGGAACTGCTGAAACGCAAGCTCGGCAAGTACGAACTACAAATCCACGCTCGACCCATGCAGCCTGTCAAAGACTTCAAGGTGTGTGTGTGTAACCCTTTCCTTTTGGTATCTAATTATATCCTCATCCAGGAAAAAAATGTTGAGGCAATTTTATTTTATTCTCAATGCCAGGTTGATGTGTACATTCATGAGAAAGCCAGCATCGATTTCATCGAGGTTAAAGGAGGACTAAGCACCAAAGCCCTCGCTAATGCCATCACCAAAACACATGCAGACAAACAGGTACTGCATGGACATATCAAAGTTATATTTTGAATTATTGCTCATCCTCGTGCACATATTTTAGTACCATTTATTTTTATCAACTGTATATCTATATGCACTTTTTTAAACAGTTTGGATGTCACACTACAATTTGTTGTTGTATCAGTAGTGCCAATCGCTGTGCAGTGACAATCAAGTTGAATCTAATGAAATTTAATAAACGGTAGAGGACTAATTAAGGATTGACCGTGTTTAACGCAGACATTAAACCTGGTTAATCCTGTTTCCAGGCATGGGTGCATTTCTATCCGACAGAGGACCAACAGAAAACATGTGACAGCTGTGGAGATCAGGGTATGAATGGAGATCTGGTTATTGTTTATGATGTCAACAGGGACACCTCACTTGGAGACATTAAGGTACAGTAAGAGTTCATTAACTGTTGTCTTTCAGTGGTTTATTAGCATTGCACATACATAATCAGCAAGAGCTAATTGGATCTTTTTTCTTTCCCTGTCTTTTTTACAATCTTTTCTAACCAATCAAACTTTCTTCTTAGAGATCAGCTGGGTACTTTGTTCATCACTTTGCTCCATCTAGTCTTCCCCGCATACCAAAAAATGTTGTTTTTGTTATTGATCAAAGTGGCTCCATGTACGGCAGAAAAATACAACAGGTACAGTATTTGAAGAGTGTTTTTTTTGTGTCATTTAATGATTTACTTTACAGACAACTTTATCAAGTAAAAAATTTAAGAAACACATTATTACATGGTCTCTTACTTGAATAAAAGTTCTAATGTGTGAATGATGTTTTTATCCCAGACCCGAATAGCTTTAATCCATATCTTGAATGACCTTGCAGAAGATGACTTCTTCGGTCTCTTCACTTTTGATAGCAGCATTTTTCACTGGAAACGAGAACTTGTTCAGGCCAACAAAGAAAACCTGGACAGTGCTAAGAAATTTGCACAGGATATTGAAACTAGAGGAGGTGAGGTTTTTACTTAATATTTTATTAAAGGGATGTGAACATTTGACAGCAACGGCGGTGAGGAAACATTTTTTCATTTATTTCAGCCACCAACATTAACAGAGCAGTGTTGGAAGGAGCACGTATGCTGAATGCACATCCCAGAGAAGGTTCAGCATCTATCCTTATACTACTCACCGACGGAGACCCAACCACAGGTTACAATAAAACACACATGGACAGCACACAATCATGTGCACAAATCATAGACTGTATATATAAAAAAAAATAGGTGCAAACACTTGTGTGATTGACAGGTCATTACCATGGCAACCTATCAGTCAAGCTAGAGTGACTTCAACCCATGGCAATGTGTAAAATTTACCAGCGCCGTTGAAAAGCTTATTAGGAGTTGGCTGTTAATTTTTTCTGGCAAGTACATTTAGTTTTAAGCCTGTTTTTCGCTAGACAAAATTATCATCCTGGTTAAAATGACAGCGGTGACGTCACGATAACTACGTCCACTTCTTATACAGCCTATTGCCTGGACAAAAAGCTTGGTGCTCACCGGTTTGTTGGTGTTTAAACATCTAACATTAATACGCAAGCTTTGCATGCCTGGGAGCCCCCAGTTCAGGCTGAGCCAGCTGATAACAGCAGCTACAGTCGTAGTTAACAGGAGTTAGCGGCTAAAATAACTGCCAACAACAAGTAAAGCTTTCTGTCCATCAGATTCCCTCCTGCAGGAAAAAAAAGAGAGAAGATGATTTTTTCTTATAATTTGGGGGTCTTTAGTCACACTGTGGACACATATTTAGTTTGAAAAGATATTTTGTATAATATGGGACTTCAAAGATTATGGGCATTTAATTGTAAATAACACTAACGTTATTTACAATTAATAGTTGTAGCTCAGCTTGCCTTTTTAAACCACCTGTCTTGTGTGTTTGCAGGGGTGACAAATCTTGAAACAATACAGTCAAATGTAAGAGGGGTTATTGCTGACAAATTCCCTCTCTACTGTCTTGGTTTTGGTTTTGATGTCAATTTTGAGTTCCTTGAGAAGATGTCGCTGCAGAACAATGGTGCAGCCCGACGGATTTATGAAGACTCTGATGCTGATTTACAGCTGAAGGTTTTTTAAATCACTTGTACTTCTCACAAATTATAGATTTGTTACATAACTGATCATGGGTGCCTGTGGAGACATTAAACATTCATACAGTGTCCATACTGTATGTCAACAGGGTTTCTATGAAGAGGTGGCCACTCCCCTGTTAACAGATGTGACAATGATCTATGCTGGTGCGCACAATCTAACCCAGACTAACTTCAGCCAGTATTATAATGGCTCTGAGATTGTGGTGGCCGGTCAGATCACTGACAATGACATCGAAACTTTCAGTCCACAAGTTGTGGCCATTTCGGTAAGGATCATCCACACTGCACATTAGCTGTTACGTTCCGAAAGGTTTGTGAAAGTCCCTCTGCACACTCATAACAATTCATTTATCTATAACAGAGGAATACAAGCATGGCGTTTTCTGACACAAACACTGGGGAGTCAACTGGAACAGTTTCTGACAGCCACATCCAGAGGGTTTGGGCCTACCTCACAGTCAAACAGCTTCTAGAGAAAGAGTGAGTGTGATGCTGACCATTGATGTTCTTGTTTGTTATCAAATACTTATTGAAGGGCTGCAAACCTCATATTTCTATTTAATCCATGAATTGTTGAGTTTATAAAATTGAAAGAAAATGTAATATTAAAATATTGGCCTTTCACAATTTCCCAGAGCCCAGGATGAATGTATTCAAATTGCTTGTTTTGTGTGACAAACAGTCCAAAACCTGAAAGATTTGAATATACAACCCAGTAAAACAAAGCAAATTAAAACATTTGAGTAGTTGAACCAAAGAATGTTCAGCAATTTCACTATGACTTAAGGATTCAATTAGTAAAATTGTTGTTGATTAATTTTCTTTAACTTGTCAGAAAAGTTTCTGTTGCTGTCATACACATACGCAGTTTACATTGATAACAGTGGCAGATTTCCTCAATATTTGCAGTATAATTTTTGAAACAATGGGTCTTTGTTTTCTCACAGATGTAAACAAACGCAGTAATATTCATTGTCAATGTAATTGGTTAGCTAGGCATTCAGAAGAGAATGTATCTCCACTTCCTTCCACTGTAAAAAAAAAAAAAAAAAAGTAAAATATCACGGATATAGGCACTGCCATCTTGCCCTGGTGATGTAATTTGGAGCCAGAGTCTGCACAGTAGTGGGTGTTTGAGCCATGGTATGGAAGTCCCACCCACACACCCAGCTGACTCAATAGTGAGCAGACCTCAACGTCAATCATGACGTGAAACTGCCTTTTTATAGAATTAAATAAGTTAACACCAAACTCATCAAAAAAAAAATTAAACTTGAACAACTGCAATAAGAACTAACTAAAATGACAAAACAATTATTTGTTTGTGACACAGGCTGCAGTTATCTGGACCTGAGAAGCAGAATGTGAAGAAAGAGGCCTTGGAGCTGTCGCTGAAGTACAACTTTGTGACCCCACTGACATCCATGGTGGTCACCAAGCCTCTGGGGGAGAACACGGATGTGCTTCATAAACCCAAAGAAGGTGCAACACCATGGGCACAGCAACATCCTGTTAGAACTGGTCAGCGGAGGTTAAGGCTAAAAGCTGGTTCCATGGGCTACAGAGGCACTGGTGAGCAGCACACATTTGAAGAAAAAAAAACACAATGCAAAACCAATAGAGTCCAACGTTTTCTTCGTCAACATTTCTCTTTTATCAGCGCATGTACATTTTTCCAGGTAAGACACATTTGCATAATTTGGTATCAGGTGTTATTACAATTCATGAATATAATTATTATATTTAATAAGTACTATAGCTTCCCTGTCTAGTCAGTGGGTGGCATTTGTAGTGACTAATCTAATTTAAAAATTGTAGATGAATAGAACAGAATAGAATAGAATATACTTTATTGTCCCAAAGGGGGAAATTTGTCATGGACTCAAAAGTGCGTACTGCATAGTAGTAGCTGCCCTTAGAAACAATAAATACACATAAAATACAAATAACAGCTAAAGACATACACGTGTGCTACATACACCTTCATAACACATCCATTAAAATAAACAGTAAATAAAATAAAATACAATACAAAACAACAAGCAGAAACACCAAGTTATTGCACACTTCCCATTCCTCAGCATACAGATATATTTAAAATTTTGATTTAAAATTTTGATGGAGGTGGGTACGAAAGAGTATTTAAAACGGTTCAATTTGGTTTTAGGGATTCTGTACCTTCTGCCAGAAGGCAAGAGCTCGTATTCCGTTTGAAGGATGTTGGACGGGTCCAACAGTACTCTCCGCGCCTGCCTAAGTACAGACTGCTCATAGATGGACTGAAGGGAGAACTTTTCAGTCCACTCCATCACCTTCATAGCAGTCTGTACTAGGTGCTGCAACTTTGATTTGGACTGTGTGGAGAGATTGCCGAACCACGCCGTCATCCCATACCTGATGAAACTCTCCATCACTGCCTGATAAAATAAAAACATGATGTTGTGGCTGACACCAAACACCCTCAGTCTGCGTAAAAAATACAGCCTTAGCTGTAAACGGGAACATACATAGTCAACATGATCACCCCAACTTAAGAGGTTATCCAGGTGGATACCCAGATACCTATAAGAAATGACCTGTTTGATCTCCTCCCTGTGAATGGACAGTGGGGTATGAGGTATTAAAAAGGTATTTTTTAGTGTTAATGGTGAGATAGTTCTTGTCACACCACTGAGCACATTTATTAACCTCCGTGAAGTACATTGATGGGTCTGAGTTCTGGTGAAGCAGGCTGAGAATGGCAGTGTCATCAGAAAATTTAAAAAACAAGTTGCCTGGTAGACTATTGGTGCAGTCGTTTCTGTAAAAAAGAATAAAACCACTTAATAATAAAAGGATTAACATTCATCTGGGTCATTTTCTAAAAGCAGAACTAAAATCAATGAACAAAGGGCGTGCATAGGCCTTAGGATCCTCCAGATACTTAAGAGTTAGGTGGGTGATCCTATTAATTGCATCGTCTGGACTCCTCCCCTGCCTATAAGCAAACTGGAGAGGATCCAGTTCAGGATTGACTTCAGATTTCAGTAGGGATACCATGTATTTTTCAAAGCATTTCATGACAACAGAAGTTAAAGCCACCGGTCTATAATCATTGCTTTCTGTAGGACAGGGTTTCTTTGGAATGGGAATAATGGTAGATTTTTTCCAGAGGGCAGGAACCAGATGGGAATCTGCAGACCTCTGGAACACAGGGCACCATGCTGGGGTTAGCTCTGCAGCAAAAGGTCTTAAGGAGAAAAGCAGAGATGCCATCAGGGCCTGCAGATTTCTTTTTGCATACATGGCTGAAAAGTGACTGGATTTTGAGGGGATCAACTACAAACATTGAACAGGAGTCAGCTGTAATTGACTGTAGTACATTACTGCATTCCAAAGAGTAGTCCTGTGTATCAAACCTAGAGAGAGTTGGGGATGTCTTTGTGGAGCCAAGTCTCAAGTAAATACCAGCAAACCCGCCTGGCGGTATTCAAAACAGCTCCATTTTGCTCCTAAGAGAGCGAATGTTGCTCAGGATCATGCCGGGCAGCGGAGGTCTACTGCCTCTCCGGCGGAGACACTGTCGGATCCCCCCACTTCGGCCTCTCTTCCGTAGTTTTCTGCAAGATGCCAGGATTTTAAATGCCTCGGGCAGGTTGAATAAATCCGCAGGCGGCGATGTTGTTCCCCTGTAGCGGAGAGACAACAACGTGTCTCTGGCGTAGATGAGTGGTAGCCCACCCTCCAAGTGTGGAAAAGTTTGACACATAATCAGAAGCTGCCAGACAATCAATGCCAATAATAGTCCTTGAACAAATAACGCCATGGTGCTCCTCTATACCCTCGTACACACTCACACAATCAATAAAAAACCACAGTAAACAAGTAAAAACAATAAATAAATAAAAACAGCAGCAGCACCAGCAGCACATGAGTGTCGCCAGCAGAGCAGCGCCACCGGAAGTATGTGGACATATGTATGAAATATAGGTAATTCATTAATTGATTATCTGATTGATTAACTAATTTGCTGTTATATAGTAAACACATCATCCGTTAATATTCAATTAATGTAATCATGTAATGATTGGCTGTAGCCTCGCCACCTTTCTGTATGGTCTGTTCTGCACGTGCGCATACATTCCCGCCCAATGTGTACCACGCATATCAGAACATTGTAGTTGACAGCAGAGCCGTTATGGCTCTGGTTGACAAAAGCCTGTGATTAAAAAAAAACTTTATTAACAACACAACATTATACAAATCATAGGGAGTCATAGCATTAGTCTCTTGCTCAATTTGTTCTTGTTTCCACAAGCTAAATATTAAAGTGATCTGGGAAACTATAATAAGCAATTCAAACATAACCTTCTATTGCCACGAAAAATTAATATTGCAAATTTCTGCCATTAATACTACATAAATGTCACGCTGTCACAAAGGTCTGGAAACATTTTTAAACTTAAACTCCCATCTTAGTATACATGTTTCCACACCAGAGGAAGCTCATATTGAAGACTAGCAGTATCAACAGTTAACAGTCCAATTGGATGTAGAGATGCTCACACGTCTTTGAGCTAGAACTGTAACTGTAACCTGTTTTTCATTTACAGAGCACAACCATGTAATGTGCAATGCAATTATTGACAGCTTATTAACGTTGCATAATCAGCAATAAACCTGTAATCTGTTTTTAACTTACAGAGCACAACCATGTAACCTAATGTACAATGCGTCTACAATTAATGACTTATTATAAGCTTATAAACAACTGTAAGTCAACAAACCCTGTTGACTCTCAAACCCAGTGTAAAGTTAACTAAATAAAACTGTAAAGTTACATGGTCAACAATAAAGCTGTAACCTTTTTTAACTTACAGAGCAAAACCATGTAATGTGCAATGCAATCAATGACAGCTTAAACTACTGTAAGTCAACACATCCCCCAGACTCTCAAACCAGTGTAATGTTATAACTAAATAAAACTGTAAGGTTATATGATCAACAATAAACCTGTAACCTCTTTCTAGCCAATGGTAATAATTAACATGATGGCAGCCAGCGGGACGTAATGATACATTAATCAACTACCACAAGTTTGGCAAGTAAACAAACGCTCGTTCATCTTTTCATAACGAAGGACAGTCGGAGTAAACCTCTCGTAGGTCGTAGCTGAAGCAAGAAGCAAGCTAACGTTAGACGGCCAATGCTGAGCTGGTGGTGTTTACTCACCACAGTTTACTAACCTATCTTGCGTTCAGCTCTTCTTTGTTTGGGTCTTGTTGTATGAAGTTTTAAAGCCAAAGTTTTTGATGAATGGTGGAGCAGCTGCAGTGTTTGTTTTCCTCTCTCATGTGCGGCCACGCGCAGCTGATGCTGTGTGTTACGTATGCAGGTTATAGGTAACGGAGGGAGGGAATAACGTCAAGCTCATCAGAAGTTTCCTAAAAAATAAACATTGTTCACGAGTCCCGCACCTCGAGTCTGAGTCAAGTTTGAAGTCTTTTGAGGACGAGTCTCAAGTCGGGTCTCAAGTCACTGTGTGTGAGACTTAAGTCGCACTCGAGTCCAAATCTCCCCATCTCTGGGATGTTGTCATAGTAAGCAGGCACAAATAGAAAACCACAAACAATAATACAACCAACATGAATGGTGCATCTGTTTATTCGCCCCTTGCTCACGCAACGCCCCTTGAGCTGTCCGTATCCGGACCCTTCTCTCAGAAGCTCTGCACCCCAAATTCATGGACACTCTTTGAAAAGGCAGCGCCCATAAGTGGAGATAGCGTGGGTGCAGTTGACCCAGGGCCTCGGCTGATAGGTGGCCCCCTAAGTGAGCCATTAAGTGCAGCTCAGTTGAGTGTTGTGGACGCAGATGAACAACAACGCTGCATGCAGCTCTACTGTACAGGGAAAATTCAGCAGCTCTTCTCAAATGAAACTCTTCTCCTTTCACTCCAGGTTTCAATGGTAAACCACCACAAGAATGACAATTACCAACAAACACACTAGATTCTAATGAGACACGTTTTAATACCCACCATCAGCGGGGTTGTGATGGCGCAATGGATAAGATACCTGTCTTTGATGTGAAAGAAGCATTTCAGCAGCGGAGCATGCAGCCTTCCCCACGTTAATGACTTGTTTTTAATATGTCCTGTGTTTATTGTTGATATACGACTAGAAGTCTGTACTGTTTGTTTTTTTGAAAATTGACTGGATTCTCTGCCGTTTCTGTGTCTGACTTCCTGCCCAGTTCATCGGTGTTAGATTTTCGTAAGACTGAGGACCGGGGTGCAGATACAGAACACTCAAGGCCAGTTAAAGAAAAGAGTTTATTTACAGAGAACTGAGGAACTAGTAGTACAGAGTGGTAGTAGGTGAGATGTGAGCAGGGGCAGGCCGTCCAGGGCAGTGGCAAACAGCTCTCCTAAAGATCCGCCAAGCAGGACTAAAACACACACGGATTCGGTAACTTGAAAAAGGAGAAAAACAAAAGATTGTTAGTCCGGGTTCAGGCAGAGAACACAATTGATACAAACTAAATGCTCAATCAACAAAGCTGGCCTGAAGTACTCAACCATGCGATGGCTAGGAATAATCTGGTGACAAGTCTCAGAGAGCCCCACATCTTAAGGCCAGGTGTAGATGAGGATTGGCAACAGGTGTGTAGCCTCGCTGGGTGATCAGCTCCCTGCCAAGTGAAAGACACACCCACACACGCCCACAGAACACCACAGGAAAAAGGAAGAAACCCCCAAGTGTCACAGGACCAACTGTGAAAATCTGCTCTGTGCTGCTTGATGCTGGGACGCTTCTGGTGTGAGCACAAACATTAATCGAATGGCTGCCATCAGCTCCAGCAGCAGCGAAGCAGACGGACTCTCGGAGTGAGTCCGGGGTTGTGTAAACTTGGTTTAAATGACTTGGTAGCAGGTGGGCCCAACACTCTCACTGTGCTGAGAGTCTAGCTCCACCCCCGGCATTGCCACTAGCAGCCATTTCCATGGCAACGTTGTAACTGCCAGAGCTGGAGGCATAAACCAGTAGACTACAGTTCATAGTTAATTTTGACAATAACCTGAAAAACTGATTAGCAAAAAGGTGTGGTGTAATCAAGACTGAACAGGGAACAAGTTAAATGCAAACAACAGACACAGACAACTTCAAAGGAAACATAGCAAAACACTAAGATATGGACCAAACTGACAGATCACTCACAGACAAAACAGACAGGAACAGACTATAATAAAATACAGAGCGCAAATATGTATATGGACAAAACAGACCAAAACCAAGAATGCAACAAACACCCCAAACAGATCATTACAAAATAAGACACTGCCGAATAGGCAAATGAAGACAAGATAAGTATCTATGATTCATTGTCTGCTCAGTGTATTTTAAGAGAAACATGCAATAACAAAATCTCCTATTCCCAAAATCCATGTTTAAATGGTATATATTATATGCTTTGCACCATATCACCACTGTGGCAGTATCTGGCCCATCAATGACAAAAAACTTTGTTTTCTGGGTATTTTTGAGGATATTTAAGAGTTTGAAAATTTGAATTCGGAAAAGCATTTTAAAATGTTAATGACTCATTCTGCACGTGTATTAATTTAGCATCCAATGAAAAAAATTCTCAATATAATGCTGCTGAAGCATAGTGTTTCTGGGACTGGGCCCCACTGACAGAACTTTTGGAAATATGGAGAAATTAGTATCACAGAGTTTCCTGATAGCTTTACTTGTTGCTGGAGTTTGTCAACAGCTAACTAACTTAGCTGCTGTTATTAACAGGTCGAGCAGGAATAGAGAAACATCTGTATCTGTCTTCATGACTTTCAACTCTCGAAAAGTCCCACCATTGGAAAGCCTCCTGTTAACATGGCTTATTCTGACCTTTTCCTGTTTGTCTGTCTTTTTGCCATCTCTTCTTTTTCTCTTCTTTACAAAGCGATTAGCACGTGCCAGACTTACCATCCCTCATGCTTCCACTGCCCTTTGTCCAGTACACGTACACCAATATTACCGTTGCCGATTGTTGCCGATTGGTTGCACTTTGCATAACCCTGAATATGTTTCAGGAACATATGAAACTCAACCAAAAAGTGACATGAAAAAAAAATTTGATTGATATAAAATATCAATTTATATCTAAAAGTTTTTTTTCAGTTTATGTTTAAATGAACAAAGGTAATTCACATTTTAATGTTTTTCCAAAAACATTTATGACAAACAATTAGACAAGCAATCAGTGCCTCCATGACAGTAACAGGATATGTCTTGTCCCTGTGTCCACTTAAAAACAATTCATATAGCATGAGACAATTTGATTCTATTAACCATAAAAACATCTGAAATCCTCCTCATGCTGCCTTGATATTCTGCCAGTAGGTTTTTTCAAAAATGTGTCTAAATGCATGGCCTCAGATTTACTACAAATTTTCAACATGTCTCTCATCTCAGGTTTTTTCCCACAGGCCCTGAAAACTGCAGTCATTAAGCCACTCTTAAAAAAGAGCAATCTAGACAGTTCACTAATGAGCAATTATAGGCCCATATCAAATCTCCCATTTTTAAGTAAAATCATTGAAAAGGCTGTTTTTCAACAGCTTAGTGCTTTCTTGGCACTAAATAACTGTTTTGATGTCTTCTAGTCAGGTTTTCGACCACACCACAGCACTGATACGGCTCTTGTTAAGGTCTTCAATGACATCCATTTAAACACTGACAGTGGCAGAATTTCAGTGTTAGTATTATTGGATCTCAATGCTGCATTCGACACGGTCGACCACAACATATTACTAGACAGACTTGAAAACTGGGTTGGACTTTCTGGCACAGTACTAAAATGGTTTGAATCCTACTTAAAGGACATGGACTACTTTGTGTCTATAGGTAATTACACATCTGAGCTGACAAAAATGACATGTGGAGTTCCCCAAGGCTCCATTCTGGGACCTCTTTTGTTTAACATTTACATGCTTCCACTGGCTCAGATTCTGAAAAACAGCAAAATATGTTACCATAATTATGCAGATGACACACAGATTTACATAACCATTTCACCAGGGGACTATGATCCCATACGGGTGCTGAGTAACTGTATTGAGCAGATCAACGATTGGATGTGCCAGAATTTTCTCCAATTAAACAAGGATAAAACTGAAGTTATTGTTTTTGGAGCCAGTGAGGAACGATTGAAAGTCAGTGCTCGACTTCAATCTGTAATGTTAGGAACCACAAATCAAGCCAGAAATCTTGGGGTTGTCATGGACTCAGACCTGAATTTGAGGAGCCACATTAAGACAATTACAAAGTCAGCCTACTATCACCTGAAGAATATATCAAGGATTAAAGGACTTATGTCTCAGCAGGACCTGGAAAAGCTTATCCATGCATTTATCTTCAGTTAACTCGACTACTGTAACAGTGTCCTTACAGGGCTCCCTAAGAAATCGATCAGACAGCTGCAGCTGATTCAGAACACTGCTGCTCGAGTCCTCACTAAGACCAAAAAAGTGGATCACATCACTCCAGTTCTGAGGTCTTTAAATTGGCTTCCTGTATGTCAAAGAATTGATTTCAAAATCCTGCTGTTAGTTTATAAAGCACTAAATGGTTTAGGGCCAAAATACATTTCCGATCTTCTGCTTCGTTAGGAACCATCCAGACCTCTCAGGTCGTTTGGGGCAGGTCTGCTTTCTGTCCCCAGAGTCAAAACTAAACAAGGAGAAGCAGCGTTCAGTTATTATGCTCCGTATATTTGGAACAAACTCCCAGATAACTGCAGGTCTGCTGAAACAGTCTTCTTTTAAATTAAGACTGAAGACTTTTCTTTTTACCATTGCTTTTAATTAAATATTTAAGATTTTTATTTTTATTGATAACTTACACTGCACTGTAACTTTTACTGTGCTGTTTTCTTTTTCTTTGTTTTTAGCTTTTTATCATTGCTTTCAATTAAATATTTCCATTTAACTCTTTTAACCCTGATTGTAACACTGTAACTTTTATTATATTTTATGTTGCTTTTAAACTTTTTTATATTTCCCTGTTGCTTTTATGTTTTATGTAAAGGACTTTGAATTACCTTGTTGTTGAAATGTGCTATACAAATAAACTTGCCTTGCCTTACTGCATCCTAATTTCATGTTATCATGTTTTTCTTTCAAAACAGGCAGAAGTGGAATCACTGGAGGTAGGACATGGGTACACATCTGCACTGTTCTGATATGACTGCTTTTACACCTTACTTACTATTACTTGTTCACACCAGAGTTGTAAATTCTTTCCATAATTAAAATTAAATGTCTTAAATGTTTGTTATTTTTCATTTTGAAATAGTTTTCTCATTATCATAAATTGTAAAGTTATCTCAGAAATGTTTTCTTTGATGAATGCAAAGCGCTAAATTCAAATGTATTGAAATGTTTATTCAGGACAAATTTTTCTGAATATTACTAGCTACATTTATAACAATTAGTATGTTGTAAAATATATTTTTGTAGAAAATGTACTTGCAAGATAGTAACAGATGCTTATTTTATTATTTGACTGTTCGTTTTCCTTAAAATATCAGCGGGAAAGGCTTATCTCGTTCCTCCAATGTTAGATGTATCGCGAATGTATCCTGCAGGTAAAATTCTTTTTCTGTACTAGTTTTGATCTATTTTTCTAATTTTGTAAATATGGTATTTATGGTTTTGTTATTTGACTGTTCGTTTTCCTTAAAATATCAGCGGGAAAGGCTTATCTCGTTCCTCCAGCGTTAGATGTATCGCAAATGTATCCTGCAGGTAAAATTCTTTTTCTGTACTAGTTTTGAGCCATTCTTCTAATTTTGTTAATATGGTACCAACCACTCATTTTGAGCAGTCAGGCAGCATATACCCCCAATATGGCTGGACAGTCCTTTATATCTTTTCTTCTAATGATAGAAAATTAATACAAATGTTCTGCATCTACATCATAACACATACACTGAAAGACAATAAGTTGTAGGTGCAAAAATGCCAAATGGGTCAGTTCTACAAAATGTAGGCATGAAATATTTACATATATATATACATATATATATATATATATATATAAACACATTATTTGTTTTTACCTTAACTTATTACATTTTAATACTGCAAACTTGCATTAAAGAATTTGTATAATTTTGTTTGGCCTACAATTAACAATGCCAATCACATGATTTGATATAAAAAAGTAGATTTTCTAATACAGGTACCAAAAAAGCATTGACATGTATACACAAATTTTCAAACTGTCAGTGTAGGTTAGGGTTTGTAGGTGAAATCTATATTACAAGAACACATTGTGACATGTTTCATTTTGATTTACAGTTGTTTTTTTGTGAGAATTTAAATCAATGTTAGAAAAGCCTGTGTGTGTATTTAGTGGTTTGTTTTATAGCTGAGGTGTCAGAATGAGGATATCAATTAATGCAATACCCTCTTTAATTAATACAATATCCTCTGAAACTATAATATAAATGTATATAACTGGCTTTGTGTAAATGTATTTACAGCTGCTCTTCCAGACATCAATATATATAGTGTTCCTGAAGAGATTGCTGTGGCTCCAACCATTGTGCCAGAAAGAGCAACTAATGGTAGAGTATCACATGTTATTCATAGTATCATTCACAGTGTTTAGTTCATCACCTTTTTGGAGTTCAGTTTTTAAAGATATGTTATTCTGTATGACAGAGGATCATGGAGCAATTTCTTATTTTTCTGTTGATGTTAGCTGGAGTAATGCGTGGCAAAATAATCATTGGCAAGTTCAACATAAATGTAATCCACCGGCACACCATCATTCCATTACCCTCATTTAATAACTCATTACAAGTGATAGAATTTGAACACTTGAACAGAGTACATAGATCTCTGTTGATGTATATACTGTAAATATTGGGATGTTTCAATTTTGTCTAATATTGTTTTCTTGCACTAGCTGTATCTATGTTTTAATGTCTTGTATCGACGCTACCTCTTGGCCAGGTCGACATTATAACAGAGAAGTGGTTCTCAATTGACTTATCTGATTAGATAAAGCATCATAAACAAGTTCAACACACATACTGTATGTGTATGCAATCTAAAAGCCAAAACATCTGAAGTATTTTGTTGTGGTGTGAAAAAGGGTGCACTTCTCAGATTGTCATTAAAAAATCTGGTATTAAAAGTAATTATTACTTGTTATGTTACTATATAACTTTCACCACCCCTTGACCCTTACTAAGGACTACCTTTTTAGCCAGCTCATTTCAGAATTGAATACACTTTACCAGAACAATAATCAACAATTAGCCAAACTGACAACATCATAGCCTCTCAAACCAGATGATACAGTATAGGCTATGTAAACATTTAAAAATAATAAAAATATATTTTTAAAAGGAAGTCACTCCCGACTTTTTAACTAATGTTTTTCTGCACATGCATTTAAAAAGCAGTATTCACTGTCTTTACAAAACATAAAACATTGCTTAACGCCACTCTCACCCGAGGAGTGCATGCATCATCTAAGTTTCACATTTCTGTGCTGTTTAGCAGATGCATCAATAAATTAAGATTGAGAATTTTTTGCAGTTGAAAGCCTTTTGCTGGTCGCACAAGGTTTATAACGAACAACAATGTTCTTTGCATCTTAGCTTAGACTTTGACAAACTCAAAATAATGGCAATACTTACAGCTGCCTACCTACCTCGTTCCCTATTCTTCCTTTTACTTTTTGGCTAGCAGCCAACTTTAACAACATAAAGTCTGGCTTCTTGGCTTGAACTGCCCCTGACCTGCCACCTTGTATTCAAGTCAAGGATATCAAAACAGATCTTGGATTAATAACTGTCATATCATAACAGTTTTAGAAATAGTAATCCCTTACTCTATTTACTGTGGAAAGTAATATATATTATAAGTAATATTACCGCAATGTTACCTCATTTGTTACCTCAGAATAGTACTGTACCCTTCTATGGGTTGGAGCTTTATTTTGCAGACTCAAACCCTTCTATGGTACCTAACAGATACCTAAACATATCCTATATAAGCTATGTTTGATGTACAGAAAGACAGAGTGGTCATCGGGCTGGGTCACTCTCCAAGCTGCTGCAGAGCTTGTAATTGATGCTGAACTCCTTGATGTAATAAACTTTTATGATCAAGAACAGTGTCAAGCGGATTTCTTCTCAACACATCATCGCAGCATTATTGTTCGGACACCACATGCACATGCATGGCCAGTTCACACTGGACGTTGAGCACACATACCAGCTACAATCGACTTAAGATGAGGTTAATCCGCCATAACAACAGGTGTATAGAGTCCGACTAACGTCGTCTCTGATTGTTTGCAGACATCCGCCGTAATGTTAGGAACTCGGACTTCAAGTGGCGTTCATGGTACTTTTTCTAGTTGGTAATTACCGAGTTGCCTGGAATGCAGCATTAGTTTAAACACAATACAAAACAGATAAAGCAAATCAGGTCCAAACAATATTCCATGTACATGAAGAACTGTTTATTATAGACCATCCCTTCTCCTGTGTGACGTTGTGTCCTCTATCTCTGTGTTCCTCTGTAGTTCCTCTTATCCACAGGTTTTTGCTAAAAACTGAGACTCAGTCTCTTCCATTATGCTTTGATGTCACTGGAGATGTCCGCCTTAAACTTCTCCACCATCCCAACAGGGGTCAGTAATGTTCCTCTTTGTGCCATCACTATTTTCCCTCCATTATTTACAACCTAATCAATTAACACCTTTTATTTTGCCTGTTGCTTTATGTGTAACACTCTTCTTCTATTCTCCTCAGGATCTTTGTGTCAGTTATATACTGTGTAATAACCCATAATTATCTCCTAGTGTAACTGGTGGGAAATAACTTTTGTACATTAAGTACTTGTACATTTACTTGATATTTGTTGAGTGATGGAGGACGGAAGTGTGGAGTTCAGTTGTGTTTGTTCCCCTTTACACAGAGCTGTCTGTGAATGGTGAGCTTGATTCAGTAGTACATGGAGGCTTCAAAAGGATTGTCATCCACTTCAAAACTGACCTGCATGTTGAGGTTGACACCCAGAGAATCACTGTACGAGAGGGACAAGCAGTGACACAGCACACGGGACAGGATCTCATCACAGTTGGAAGGTGACTTTGCATTGAAATGGCAGGAATTATGCTATGATGACACTAAGTGGTGTACAGACTCTCTGATAAATGCACATGGTCACTGTTTCTGCGTGCAGAGTTAAGTTTTCATGTGTGGCCTAAGGTCACATCAGACCTTTAAGGAATACTTTTGGGGGGGAATGTGACTCGCATAGAGGCGGGGAGAACTCCAACACAGCAGCGTATAGCTGGGAACTTGTGAGAATCTTGCTCCTCCCTGCGACCAGTTTGTCTAAGGAGACCCCAACAACACAGTTCCCAGTATCACAGGGACACACAAACCGATCCCCGTTCATGTGGCGATTCTTTGGGGAGCCTGTATTCTCATGTCTGAACAATAAGAGCTGTTCAGCGCTGAGAAGAAAAAGGGGAGGGGCAGCTTCAAACACCCCACGTCACGTATTTTTGTGATGTTGAATTTGTCATTAATTCACTATTATAATATAAATCGCTATTTACAACTGATGCTTACATTAGCTCTGCACACCTATGGTCCATCCACACAGGTGATTTTAATTATTTTTGGATGATAAGAGCTCTTCTCAGGAGTGTGCAGATGATGTTTGATTGACATCTTCCTAACTCTTCTGTTAGTTTTGTTGCACCTACCTGGGACAAATTACACCTTCATCCTTCTCATTGGTGCATTGACTCTGGTGACCCTAGTATAGCTTCTTTGTGTAATCAACTAAGATAAGTGAAATGACCTGTGCGGGTGTGCAGGGCTTTTAAAAAGAGTCCAAAAGAAAGCTAATACAAGGTGCTTTTATTCCTAGTTTGACAGTGATTATGCGGGACAAGGAAATAGATGTTGCAGCTGGAGACACACACATGGTCATCTTAATTCATAAGCGAGGTGACAAAGAATTCATCTGGCCTGTTTTAAGACAGCAGCCATCGGACAACAACGTTTCAGGAATTTTAGGTGGGTAAAAAGGCTGGATTTGCTTGTGTGGTTTAATATCAGGTCAACAATATATTGAATAAGTGTTTGCATCCAAAAGTGGAGGTAAATCATTAAAAGACACAAATATGTTGTGCTGTGTCTCATGGACTGCCAGCTTTTCAGTGCCATTGCTTTATTGTTTATTCTCTGTGTGTCCAGCTTTAAAGACAGCAGTTTATGAGGAGATGCAGCAAACTCCTTCAACAAAACTCAAGATCAAAGACCAGGAGATTGATGCTACCAGGTACATTTTCTTCTGTATTATTAGTTGGTATAAAAAGAGCGCTGTTTGGGAGTACTATAATTTTTTTATATGAACATTTATATCTTTTGTAGATCCATTGCTGTTGACTACAGTATTGTCTCTGCCCTGACACTGGACTGCTGGCTCATGTCTGCTGAATCTGCCCTGCAGAGACGCCTGGATGATTTCATTGTTACACAACTTTAACTGGAAAACATGTTGAATCAATTGCAAATAATATTCTTTGATCGCTTTAATGCTTGCAATGAAAGTTTGGTATGCGATTACGTTTGCGTGTTGTATCACCTGTTTTCCCCACCATTTCCTGGACTCGTCAGACTGGTACTTTTTCACAAAGGCTGTACATACTTGAAACAGAAATAATAAATACATTTTTGCTTGACACCATATCATATTAGTCATTTACTTTTGTCAATATGAAGCCACATTTTCTCTGTGTACCTCTGTCACTTTAAGTTTTCAAACCAATGTCTATTGTGTTTGCATAATAACATCAGACCTTGCAAAATGGGAGGGCCCCTATGTCAATAATAAAGCTCACAGAAGCAGATGAATTTCTGATAAATTTCTGCTTTCCGAACCTGTCATGACGACGTTTTGTTAGCTATGCGTGTGATTCCTGGAAGTATGTGGAGGGGTAAAAGAGGTGTGTTTTTGTGTGTGGGTGGGTTTTTGTCATGTGTGCAAGTGAGAGTTTAAAGAGGAGAGAGAAAAAGAAGAGTTTGCCAATACTTTCCTTGTCGGATTGAGTATAAAAGACAGTTTCAGCTGCCTGGGTTGCAGTCTGGTGAGAGAAATCATGGAGAGGACTTTGGTGCAAATCGCCCTCTTTGGGCTGCTGCTGGCTTTGGTTACCACACTACCAAATAAGGTAAGGTCACAAAACCTTAGGAATAGAGCACCACACTGTGAGAACACTCAATCAGTTTAATATATTGATGTCTTAGCACTGATTATTAACAGATATTTGAGGCTTGTGCATGATTTTGTTTCTCTGCGTATGATTAAAAATGAGCAGGTTGAACAATCTGATGGGACTTTACCTTCAGTGTTCCTTCATATTCTTCATATGAATGCACAGTGTGTGTGCACTCAGAATATTCTTGTTTGGGAACAAAGTCACATTGAGATGATCCATTTACTTTAAGGGTTAAGACTTGGTATTTAGCAAAGGTTTGTTAGGTTAGGTTGCAGTAAAACTCCAGGGATTTATTTTAAGTCAGCAATGCAATGTCCTCTTAAATGACAAAATCATGTCATTGTTATGTGTGTGAATGTGTAATACTCATGTTGTGGGGCCATAATCTGTTTACACAGTTGCATCAGGGGGACTCAACTGCCTTTTGGGGACAAAAAGCTGGTCTCTGTGATGTCAATCATTAAATTAACGAGTTAAGACTTGGTGAATATTTAGGGTTAAGGATTAGTGGGAGTGAACAAGTCATTGCCATTTGAAATCACTGGATGAAAAATAATAAGAACTGGGTGGTTTCTCAGTTTCTACCAATGAGATTTCACTGATGCCACCCATAAATACTTTGTTTTTCACCATTATCTGATCTTTAGTCAGCCCGTCATCAGCCAGTGGGATCAACTAAGCCATTTTCTATTGTGCAATGTGCCTCCTCTATTTGCTCAGGACGACTGGGACATCTACAGCTTTCACATCAACTCCACAGTGACCAGTCGTTATGCCACCACTGTCATCACAAGCCGTGTGGCCAATCGTATGGACGAGTCAAAGGAAATAGAATTCCACGTCCGGATTCCCAAGAACGCCTTCATCAGTAAATTCAAAATGTGTGTGAAGCAAAAATTATCTGTTAATATTTACAGGAATTTGTACATAAAGAATTACACATTAAAGAATCACAAAAATAAATCATGTGTCACTCAGGAGTATGTCTGTAAACAAAGACTTGTCTTTGGTCTTTTTCAGGCTTATAGATGGCCAGGAGTACGACGGGGTTGTGAAAGCTAAGGAGCAAGCTCAGCAGCAGTACACTGAGGCTGTGTCCCGCGGCCAAAGCGCTGGGATTGTCAGGTACATGGATCAGTTTATTACCAGGTTTTATACAGATGAGTTCATAAGTTTTATTTGTAGAAGAATCTTGTGTGTCCTTTGGTTTACCTTCTTGCAAAATTCTGGCTACTTTCACATATTCTGGTCTCTAATATCCTTTTAACAAAAATCTTCACTCTTTAGTGGAACTACTCACAACTCATAGCCACACTTAGGCCATGATCTGTGATGGGGGGTTATAAGTAGGCATTGTTTGATTTTAGGAGTTACATGCCAGAAAGGTGGGAACCTCTGTTGTAATACCATGATTATTGTCTCTGCTGTAGTTCTGTAGGAAGGACTCTCGAGGAATTTAAGACCTCCGTGACTGTGGCTGCTCACAAAAAGGTCACCTTTGAACTCACATATGAGGAACTGCTGAAACGCAAGCTCGGCAAGTACGAACTACAAATCCACGCTCGACCCATGCAGCCTGTCAAAGACTTCAAGGTGTGTGTGTGTGTAACCCTTTCCTTTTGGTATCTAATTATATCCTCATCCAGGAAAAAAATGTTGAGGCAATTTTATTTTATTCTCAATGCCAGGTTGATGTGTACATTCATGAGAAAGCCAGCATCGATTTCATCAAGGTTAAAGGAGGACTAAGCACCAAAGCCCTCGCTAATGCCATCACCAAAACACATGCAGACAAACAGGTACTGCATGGACATATCAAAGTTATATTTTGAATTATTGCTCATCCTCGTGCACATATTTTAGTACCATTTATTTTTATCAACTGTATATCTATATGCACTTTTTTAAACAGTTTGGATGTCAAACTACAATTTGTTGTTGGATCAGTAGTGCCAATCGCTGTGCAGTGACAATCAAGTTGAATCTAATGAAATTTAATAAACGGTAGAGGACTAATTAAGGATTGACCAAGTTTAACGCAGACGTTAAACCTGGTTAATCCTGTTTCCAGGCATGGGTGCATTTCTATCCGACAGAGGACCAACAGAAAACATGTGACAGCTGTGGAGATCAGGGTATGAATGGAGATCTGGTTATTGTTTATGATGTCAACAGGGACACCTCACTTGGAGACATTAAGGTACAGTAAGAGTTCATTAACTGTTGTCTTTCAGTGGTTTATTAGCATTGCACATACATAATCAGCAAGAGCTAAATGGATCTTTTTTCTTTCCCTGTCTTTTTTACAATCTTTTCTAACCAATCAAACTTTCTTCTTAGAGATCAGCTGGGTACTTTGTGCATCACTTTGCTCCATCTAGTCTTCCCCGCATACCAAAAAATGTTGTTTTTGTTATTGATCAAAGTGGCTCCATGTACGGCAGAAAAATACAACAGGTACAGTATTTGAAGAGTGGTTTTTTTGTGTCATTTAATGATTTACTTTACAGACAACTTTATCAAGTAAAAAATTTAAGAAACACATTATTACATGGTCTCTTACTTGAATAAAAGTTCTAATGTGTGAATGATGTTTTTATCCCAGACCCGAATAGCTTTAATCCATATCTTGAATGACCTTGCAGAAGATGACTTCTTCGGTCTCTTCACTTTTGATAGCAGCATTTTTCACTGGAAACGAGAACTTGTTCAGGCCAACAAAGAAAACCTGGACAGTGCTAAGAAATTTGCACAGGATATTGAAACTAGAGGAGGTGAGGTTTTTACTTAATATTTTATTAAAGGGATGTGAACATTTGACAGCAACGGCGGTGAGGAAACATTTTTTCATTTATTTCAGCCACCGACATTAACAGAGCAGTGTTGGAAGGAGCACGTATGCTGAATGCACATCCCAGAGAAGGTTCAGCATCTATCCTTATACTACTCACCGACGGAGACCCAACCACAGGTTACAATAAAACACACATGCACAGCACATAATCATGTGCACAAATATTTATACCATACATTGCGTCCCCTCACAATATGTTTTGTGTTACCTCTCAATGATTTTGTGTTCCCTCACAATACATTTGCGTTCGCTAGCAATATGTTTTATGTTTTCTTGCAATACATTTGAATTCCTCCCTATACTTTTGCGTTCCCACGCAATACTTTTTTTCCTTCCTTTCCTTCTGAGCCATCAGTGTGTCTGCTTGGCTGCTATCATGATGGTCAACACTGTTTGCGAAATGTTAGACTTTATATGTAGCCTGCATATCTCACATTACGCAATACTGTCCACTCAATATAGAAGATCATGCTGCTACACACAGATGACACTGTTTATAGCCTACTGTCTTTAGGCTGCTCCTGGTACTGCCCTATTTCTTGATGCTGCCATTATTTTATTATTCGGCCTACTACAGCTACTGTTAAGTACTTCTGCCTTTTAAATAGAGATAGGATATACATATAAGTGGTTGTACTATGCACTTTATAATGTTCCAGTCCCACCATGCTCACTCCGCCTGACAGTATGCAGATCAGCTGTCTCCTCTAGTGTTAGGTACTGTATATCACTGCCCTAGTTTTACGGGCCTGATAAATTCCTTTTATATTCCCCCTTACATGCCTTGTTGTTTATGTGTAGATACAGAGGAAGAATGGGAGAACAGCACATATCCCATCGTTACTGTGCAATTATAGAGCATGGGAGAACAGTGGGTACTTTTAATACAGCCACACCCTTAATATTACTGTGTAACTACAGGATAACAGGTGGAGAACATGGAGAAGACTTTTTTTAACTGTGGGCATGGTTTATTCATCTTGTGTAATGTGTAAAGAATGAAAATGAATAGGCCTGCTAGGCTCCTCTCTACTTTGACATTTAAGATTAGCTGTGTTTGATCCACCTCATACATATGTTATATTAATACATTGTACTGTATACTTTAGGCTATAACTTGAGAAAGGTAAGTTGTTTTCTGCTCCAGTCTGCCTAAATGAAAAACATTTTTGGGATTAAATGTGTTTTATTTGCTTCTGCAGTGCAGGATGAACGAAGATAGACCCTTTATCAACTCATCATTCTAAATCATGCAATGAAGTAGAAGAAATGCATAAAAAAAAATCCTGAGACAAAATCATTTGTATTTATTGAAATTAGTATGTTATTTTGGAAGCACGTCACAACTGAGAAAACTCTATAATGTATTAATAGCTGCCAGAGGATGTCATTGTTTATTGTCAACTGGTTAAACCTACTTCTGGGCCCTGTTTCAGAAAGCAGGATTAGTGAAAATTCTGAGTATGTTAAACCTGAGATGAGGGAAACACTGGGTTTTCTTTTTCAGAGAGTGAGATTAGGTAAACCCTAGATCAGTAACACCGGCTACTGACGCTGTGCAAGTTGGAAAACGTCTCAGGTTACGTATGTAACCCTGGTTCCCCGAGAAGGGGAAC